TCCCAAGTCAGTGGGCATTTTCTAAGATTTCTGACCTAGGAGGTTTTGAGGGTGACAGGCAGCCCTTTTGTGGTCATGCTTTTTCTCTATTGAAATAATTCTTGATCTATTCTGAATATAATGACTTTGTCAGTATGTTTTGCAAATATTTTTTCCTTGTTGTCATTTGTTTTCTTCACAGTGGCTTTTAAAGAGCAAATATTAACAAGTTTTAATGACCCACTTGATATTTTCTTGGTGTGTGCTTGTCCCATTTTCTTTCCTATCAAAGAAATCTGCCTAACCTACGATAAACAAAGATTTTTTTCCCCCTGTGTTTCTTCTGTAAATTTTATAATCTTCCATTCAAGTTTATGATTCACTCTGAATTGATTTCTTTATACTATAGTATGAAGTTATCAATTCTGAACAATAACTGTAATTTCATTACTGTTAATGAATCATAATGTAAATATCTGTGTTTTCTGATTATCTTAGGCTCTACAGTAGCAGTTCTCAACCTGTGGGTCGTGAAATTAGTTATGAAGTAGCAACAAAAATAATTTTATGGTTGGGGGTCATCACAACATGAGGAACTGTATTAAAGGGTCAAGGCATTAGAAAGGTTGAGAACCACTGCTTTAGATTGATGGGTTGGCATTCAACTAACTACTAGTAAGCCACATCAGCCAGGGCTGGATGTGTATTTTCTAACTGTTGGTTTAAGAGTTTCATGTAAGTCCATTAGATCAAGCTCTGAGGAAACTCAAAGACACTGTTGGTAACAAATTTTGTTCCCCAATCTTCCATTTTGACTGTGAATTTTGCAGCTTCTTCTTCTTTTATTTGTCTTTATTGTTGAAAGTATTATAGATGTTCCCTTTCCCCCCCATTGGCTCCTCTATTTTGCATCCTCTCCCCCTCACACTATTATCTGTATCCATGGATTATGCATATAAGGCTGCTCCTTAAATTATGTCTTTTGTTGTTGTTTACAGTATTTTAAGGCCAAGGTACTAGGAGCATACAGATTTAGAACATCCAGAAGTCTTTGAAAGTATAATATTTTGTTTTTCCACCCATTTATACATTCATTGGTTGCTTCCTATATGTGTCCTGATGGGAGATGGAACCCACAACCTTGGCATAGCTGGATAATGCTCTAACTACTTAGCTACCTGGCCAGGGCGGGAAACCATTGCTAAATTTGTTCCACTATACACTAATCTTATGAAAATAATTAAAACGTTTTTTGCAGACCTTAGCAAATACATTTTTATAATTATGTTCATAAAAAATGGTCATATTGGATTTTTTTTTAAATATTAGAGGATATTTATTAAAGCAAGGATAACCCGAGACATATTGAAATTTATATTTATACTCTATCCACTGCCAGCCGGTATTTTTGAAATGAGCATTCATAGGACATGTGCTAGGTATTTCAGATCAATTTAAATATCGTATTATGAGTTTCAGGTCCAACCCAAATTTATTTAGGCTTTTTTAGTCTTTTCTTAAATCGGTTAAAATAAGAATGCAAATACCTTAGGAATATCACAGCCTTTTATATTTCAAAATTCTGTAGACAGTAATTGACCCAAAAGACATTTCTTGGCAGTGTGAAATGCACACCGGGGAATTCTAACACCTCACACCGGTGGCTGTACTGAAACGAGTCCTGCGTGCAGTCTAGGAACACAGAGGCCTGCTTCGCACGGAGCAAAGACCCTGGGCCCCGGATTGCTGATTTTGAGTTAGGGGAGGAAGTCGGGGGGAGGGGGAGTTCTGTGTCAAAGGTCAAACCCAAGCACAACCCAGCCTTGCTTTATGACGTCACTATTGAGAGGTTTGTTCTTAAAAGACGGGCACAGATTCACGGTGACTTTGTCGCCGGACGACCCCTGCTGCTGCAGGTCACTAGGCCCTCCTGTCCTGTCCAGGCTCCGGGCCCGGGGCGCTCCGCGGAGAGACTGAGTCAGGATTTCCGGCCGCGGCGCTGAGGCCGGAGGCTGGATTGTCCAATCAGAGTCATGGAGGAGGGCGCCTGGAAGAATTGTCCAATGACGGAGAAGGAGCGGGTTTCAGAGAACTGTCCAATCAGGGTGAGGGGCTCCGAGCATCTTCCAATCAGGGCCGGAGGCGGGCGCGCTGGCGGCGTGGACGTCGCTCTCACAGGCCAAATCTCGGGGCCGCGGAGAAGACGCGCGGGAACCGCATTGGGAAACGATTGGGAGGCGGTGAGTGCGCGGGGCCGGGGCTGGCTTGACCGGCATAATCGTCTGGAAGCGGCCGTGGGCCTGGGTCCCCGCGCGCCACCCTAACCTCCGGGCCCGAACCGAGTCTCCTTCCTCTGCTCGGCGTCCTGTCCCTTCCCCGGGGAGGTCGCACAGTCCCGACGGGAGTGTGCGCCTTCTGCCTTGGGGGGAAGTCCCAGCGCCCTATTCTGTCCCCCGCCTGGGGCCGCGGGTCCTGACCGGGGTGTCCTCCCGCGGCCGAGGGGCGGGGTCCCGGCGCCTGGGTCAGAGATAGAGCCCCGGCCGGTGTGGCTCCCAGTCTGGGCACATGCCCAGGCCTCAGACCTCATTCCCAGCAGATCTGCGGGAGCCAGCTGATTGATGTTTCGCTCAGGTTGATATTTCTCTCTCACGTCTTCTATCGATGTTCTCTTTCTAAAAATCAATAAACTATTTAAAAACAAAAGAACAGGAGGTCAACATTGGTACAGTCTAAATGGTTTATTCAGATTTTGGCAGTTTTACATGCAACTGTGTGTGTACGTGTATATGTGTGTGTGTACGTGTGTGTGTGTGTGTTGTGCTATTTTATGATGTAGATTTATGCACACTGCCACCAAAATCTGTTCATTACCATAAACATTTCTCTAGAACCCACTGGTTTTTGTTTGTTTGTTTTTATTTGTTTTTATTTTTTTAAATATATTTTATTGATTTTTTACAGAGAGGAAGAGAGAGGGATAGAGAGAAACATTGATGAGAGAGAATCATCAATCAGCTGCCTCTTGCACACCCCCTACTGGGGATGTGCCCACAACCAAGGTACATGCCCTTGACCAGAATAGAACCCGGGACTCTTCAGTCCGCAGGCCGACGCTCTATCCACTGAGCCAAACCGGTTTCGGCTGTTTGTTTGTTTGTTTTTTTTTTTTTTTTTTTTTTTTTTTTTATTGATATTTTACAGAGAGGAAGAGAGAGGGATAGAGAGTTAGAAACATCGATGAGGATCATCGATCAGCTGCCTCCTGCACACCCCCCACCGGGGATGCGCCCGCAACCAAGGCACATGCCTCTGACCGGAATCGAACCTGGGACCTTTCAGTCCACAGGCCGATGCTCTATCCACTGAGCCAAACCAGTTTCGGCTGTTTGTTTTTAAAATATATTTTTATTTTGGAGAGGAAAGGAGAGGGAGAAATAGAAACATCAATGATGAGAATCATTAATTGTCTGCCTTCTGCATGCCCCCCACTGGGGATTGAACCTGAAACCCAGGCATGTGCCATGACCTCCTGGTTCATAGGTAGATGTTCAACCACTGAGCCATGCTGGCTGGGCCTAAAGCCACTGTTTTAAGGATACTTAAAATCCTTGGTGCATCTGATATGTGGTTATTTACTCCCCCCCCCCCCTTATTTTTTTCTAGAAAGAGAGGAAAGAAGAGGGATAGAGAGATAAAAACATTGATGAGAGAGAAATATCATAGATTGGCTGCCTCCTGCACAACCCCTACTGGGGATCGAGCCTGCAACCTGAGCATGTGCCCTTGACGGGAACTGAACCCAGGATCCTTTAGTCCACAGGCTGATGCTCTATCCACTGAGCTAAACCAGCTAGGGTTCATTGTTTTTTTTTTTTTTAAAGAGAAAGTGGGAAGGAGGGAGAGAACATCAACATGAGAGAGATGTTCTCCCACATTTTACCCACAGAACCATACCAGCCAGAGCCTGATTTATTCTTTTTATATAATCCTCAGAAATAAGAGCTTTTTTCTTCTAGCGTTCTGGACGCCTGCTTCAGATGCTCTGTGACTTTCCTGGGACTGTGTGGGCTGTCACAGTGACAACTCTTGGAGCTGATCCACCAGACTCATGCTGGGCACGCAGCAGGATTTTTTCCTTGTCACCATTATAACTGGAATCTGAGGCTGGAACACTGCTCCCATTCCTGTTATTGATAAAGTGCAATTTGGCCCATGAGCTCTGCCTTCCTCCATTCTAGAGGTCCCATTCTGTGACATGCACCAATTGTACTTATGTTGAAATTAAAATATATATGTATTACAATACTATTTTTGCGTTCTGTGAAAATTTTTGTTGCTCCATATAGACCAAATTTTTAATCAAGAACCGGTGATCAAGAACCCCCCCCCCCCCCCCCTAGTCAATGGTGTCCCACTTTACCAATGTTAAAATTTGGTCACCTTAGGTTAGGGCCATGACTTTATCTTTAGCTTAACAAAAACTCAAGCTTTGTGACCCTTAGTCACTGGATGGCCGTTGTTTCTGGCTGTGTGAGGGGTGGCTAAGGCTCACGGGGCTGCGGAGAAGAGACTGAATGCCGGGCTGGGCTGCGCAGGGAAGGCTGGAGCCCGCAACCACACCTGAGACCCTCAGGCCCTGTCTGTGACTGTCCACTGAGGGGAGATTGGGGCGGGGCCGACAGGAGCGGGTGAGGGGCTGCCCAATCAAGACATGGGAAGGGGGCGGGTCTCAAAAACGGTCCAATTACGGCGTGGTGGCGTGACGGGGTTAGTCCAGTCAGAATCCTCGGGAAGGGGCAGCCCGGAGTTTCGTCCAATACGTCGCGTGCCCAATCAGCGGGGGAGCCGCGCGCTCACGCCGGAGGCGGGCGCTCCCCTCCTGCGCTGAGGCCTCTCCGCCGGCGGAGGCGCTGTCGAGTGTCGGCGCGAGGGGCCGGGGTGTCCTGTCACCTGGTCCCTCTTCCCCCGCTGCGGAGCCGCGGAGAGGGCGGCGCCCCGAGAGCCCGGAGCGCGGTCGCGAGATGGTGAGTGCGCGCAGCGGGCCGAGGCCGGGATGCGTTGGTTCGAACCGGCCGAAACCGGCTGCAAGCCGCGCGTCCCCCAGTCCCCCCAGTCCTTCCGAGTGCCCTTTCTCGGTGCGGGGTGGGCCGGCGTCGTGTCCCGGCTCCGAGGCCTTGGCCGAGCTGGGGACCGAGGAGGGACCGGACGCCGCTCTCGCGGGCGGGGCGGGATGGACGCGGTGGGAGGACCCGAGCCCGCACTGACAGATAACAGATCGGACTCGGTTCCGACTGTGCCTGGGGACAAGGCTGGTCTCAGAGCCGTGCCCGTCCCCGGGGAGACGCCTTTCTGTTCCGCGGCCGAGGGTGGGCGGGAGGCGGCCTGACCGCAGCCGCCACGCTGTGGCCGCGCATCCCGGCGCGGGTCAGCGGGCTTGGTCTGGCCTCAGCGTGGGCCGGACAGGGAGGGGCGGTGTCTGCGCCTGTCAGGACGACAGTAACTAGTAAAGCTTGGACAAAAGAGGGGAAATTGTGATCACCAGGACAAGCCTGTGAAGTCTGAAAAAAACCAAGCTTTGTAAGAAGAGATTTTCATTCAAAAGTTACTGCACTGGGTGGGGAGAGGGGACTGCTGTGGGCCGGGGCTGTGCAGCAGGGAGGACTCGCAGGCCAGACCATCCGCAAGGGTCTCAAAGCAGGGCTTTCCGAGTTTTGCATTTAGAGAGAGGAGTCAGCAAATGTTGGGAGAGCAGGTCCCGGATGCCAGTGTGTTCTCAGGAGAGGGTGTCCGTGGGCTAAAGCTGGCGACAGGCCTGAGCTCAGGGGTCTGCGATTAGGAGAGAAGCTCAACAAAGCTCTGCTTGGAGGAACCGTGCGGCCGAATGTAGGACCCAGAGAACGGGATGTGGGTGTCTGCCTCTGGCTTTGTCAGAGGTAGAGGTGGGAGACATCTGAGAGGCTTATGTAAGTCAGGGTTCCTGCCATGGGCCTTTTCCCAGGACAAACGGTTGGGATGGTTCCTTTCACCTTCCGTGGATGTTTCCAGAACAGGGTCAGAGGGACTGAGCCAGCGCTGTCACCTGGCGCGTGCACACCTCTTCCGTGCCCAGCTCAGCACGAGGAGCTTCCCCTTAGTCCAGCCCCAGGTTTTGGCAGATTTGCCTCGTTTCTTCATGGTAGTGAGGGTAGGTAAGCGTCTTGGGTCTTTGTCTGTCCTGCTGACTCATATTATTCCCCCACTTAACCGGAGATGCCTCTGAGGAAAAGTGTTTCAGATACAATAAGCGTCCTCTCTTTTATTAAAATTGTGGGGGAAATGCAGTTTCACATCTTCATGCAGGGTTGGTGGAGATCTACATTAAAAAGATTCATAAAAATCATAGTGACTCTTCCATTCAGGGTGCACAGTCTGTGGCACTTGATGTTAAAGATTAGTGCAAGGTTTGTGAATTGTGGCTTGTAATGGCTGGTTTGGCATCCTTCACAGAGTTGCTGGAGTTAAGTATGATTTGTGCAAACTGAGTAAGACTGGGAAGGTCAGGCTTAGGGAGCGAATCTTTGGATTTTTACTGTTGGAGGGAAATGGATGAGTCTGAGAGTTAACTTGGGTCAGATCTTAATGCTTATGTCCTTGGTAAGCACTGAGGCCCTGGAGAGGGTGTTTCCCCACGGCCTGGGAGCCGGGCAGGACGCCAGCCCACCCCACAACCACAACCGAGAGAGAGAAGGGTATGTGGGATCCACAGTTTGATTTCCAGGGGCCCAGGGGCCCGGAACTCCTTTCCTGGATGGGGTGGGCCATCCTGGACTGCCTGTCAGCAGAGCGCCTGGCCGCCAGCTCGAAAGGTGAAGGTGTTTGGGTTCCCATGTGCACGGTGGGAAGCAGGCTGTGGGTCTGAGCTGGCTCACACTGGGCCACTCTTCCCTTTGTTTTCCTGGAGAGGATAGAATTTCTATTAAGGTGACTTTGGGGTCGCCATTTCCATTCTATATTAAAAGGAAACCAGAAAATTTCCAGAAACTTTAAGCTCTAGAAATAGAACACAATGCTTCCAGTTCCATCTTGATTCTTGTTGCCACTCACCCAGTCCTTGACAGTTGATGGCAGAGGCAGGTGGGGCACCTGGGCACCTAGGGGGAAGGAAACTGACTAAATGGTATCTTTTAAAATGTTATTTTCATGCCCAGTTTGGCTCAGTGGATAGAGCATTGGCTCTCAAACTGAAGGGTCCTGGGTTCGATTCCAGTCAAGGGCATGTTCCTAGTTTGCAGGCTCAATCCCTGGCCCTGGTCAGGGTGCGTATGGGAGGCAACCAATTGATGTGTCTCTTTCACATTGATGTTTCTATCTCTCCTTCTCCCTTCCACTCTCTCTCTTAAAAAAAAAAATAATAAAAAAAAAGGAAAAAATATCCTCCAGTGAGGATTAACATCAATAACAAAAAGCTAATAATGCCTTTGTCCCACCCCAGAGATTTCACTGGTCCTGGGTCTGGCATGGGCTTTGGACTAAAATAAAATAAAATGTAATTTTCTTCCTATCACTGTACATGGAACTGAAATATTTTATTTTTTCTGAAATATATTTTTTAAAAATATATTTTGATTTTGTACAAAGAGTAAGGAAGAGAGATAGAGAGCCAGAAACGTCGATGAGAGAGAAACATCGACCAGCTGCCTCCTGCACACCCTCCACTGGGGATGTGCCCGCAACCAATGTACATGCCCTTGACCGGATTTGAACCTGGGACCTTTCAGTCCGCAGACTGACACTCTACCACTGAGCCAAACCGGTTTCGGCTGAAATAGATTTTAAACATTTTTAAAATTACAGTTTACAGTCAATATTATTTTTTATTGCTTTAGGATGTACAACATAGTGGTTAGACAATCATACACGTTATAAACAGTTCTCCCTGAAATTTCCAGTACTCAACTGGCTCCACAGATAGTTATTACAATACTAGAGGTCCATTGCACAAAGATTCGTGCAATAAGCCTTCCTTCCCCTGGCTGCCGGCACCGGTTTTCCTCTGGTACCTAGGACTTAGGCCTTCACCCTGGCCACCGCCTTCCATCTATATGTATCGATATTTATGTCTGGTATTGGGTATGTGATTCTGTTTGTAACCCTGGTTGATGTAGTGTTGCCTTTTCTATACCTTATACAGTTGTGGGTTTGGTTTTGTGTGGGGGGTGGGGGTGGGGAGGGTTGGTGTATTTTTTTAGATTTTGAGAGAACACAGTTTTTAAAAATTTCAAATTTTAAAATAAATTTTTGCCCTTTATTTTATTGGTGTTATGTCATCCAACCCAACATTGCTCTAAAATACACATTAGGTAGTTTTTTTCTCTGTTAAAGTCGCCTTTAGCTCTATTCCCATTAGACCCCTCAGTGATTCTTCTTTGTGGGAGGAATTTTCTCAAATTCCAGGCACTCAGTTGTTTATTTGCGAGGCCCTGCTGGCTTGAAAATTTCTTCAGGAACCAAGTTCCCCTTTTACCCAACAGTGTACCAGGCCCCAAGCTTAGCCTACACATATGCCCAGTGTCCACCTCATCAGGGCAGGGATTGTGTCTCTGCCTCTGTCCGATATGAGGGGACTAGACCAGACTCCAGAACATTGCTGACTTACAAGGTGAAAGCTGTTCATATCAAGCAGCACTGGAAATCTCAGTGTTCATGACTGTCTGACATTCTGGTTCCAGGTCTTGGAGCTGACAATAACTTTTGAGCAAGCCAAGTAGTATTTGATTCTTCATTATCTGAATGATGATTTCATTTTCAGTATTTTTTTAATCCTCACTCCAGGATATTTTTTCTATTGATTAAAAAAATATATAAATATATAAATACATAAATATATATTGATTTCAGAGAGGAAAAGATAGAAACATCAGTGATTAGAGAGAACCATTGATAGGCTGCCTCCTGCATACCCCCTTACTGGGGATCAAGCCTGTAACTGGGGCATGTGTCCCTGACTGGAATTGAACTTGAGACCCTAAGGTCCATGAGTGATGCTTTAACCACTGAGCAAAACCAGCCAGGACTCATTTTCAGTCTTTAACATACTCAGAATCTGCTATATAACAGTAAAAGCAATTAAAAAAAATTATGTATGGACTAGAGGCCCAGTGCATGAAATTCATGCACTGGTAGAGTCCCTAGCAGCTGCTGGCCAACCACACCTCCTGGTCAAACTGCCGGAGAAACTCCTGATTACAGGGACAATTTGTATACACTTTTATTATCCTATATAATAAAGAGGTAAGAAGCAATATGGCCGCCACCCTCCTCCCCCAATGTGGACACAAGATGGCCAGCGGGGGGAAGGGGCAGTTGTGGGTAATCAGGCCAGCAGGGAAGGGAAGTTAGGGATGACCGGGCCAGCAGGGAATGGCAGTTGGGGGCGACTGGGCCTGCCAGGGGAAGGCAGTTGGGAGAAACCAGGCCTGCAGGGGAGAGCAGTTAGGGGTGATCAGGCTGGCAGGGGAGGGCAGTTGGGAGAGATTAGGCCAGCAGAGGAAGGCAGGCAGGGGAGGGCAGTTAGGCGCTGACCAGGCTGGCAAGCAGAAGCAGTTAGGGGCAATCAGGCAGGCAGGCAGGCAGGCAGGCAGGCGGTTGGGAGCCAGTAGTCCTGGATTATGAGAGGGATGTTGGACATCCCTCAAGAATCATTGATGTTTCTATCTTTTCCTCTCTGAAATCTCCAAACCCAGAATGGAGAGGGTTTAGTCTGAGCTGAGGGACACACACCCCACCCCCAAGCATGAATTTTGTGCACCAGGCCTCTAGTATATGATAAGTTTATATCACTTGTTCTTGTACTTTGCTTCATGGTTCCAAGCTCTTACCACTATTGACTATAATGCATTTTATTTGCTTGCTTATTGTCATTTGCTAAAAGAGCATGAGCTTAGGTGTCCTAGGAACTGAGTTCCATTCCAACCTCCCCCATCCTCTTGCACATGCAGGTAAAGAGGTGCTTTGTTGAAATAGAGTGTGTGGGATGTTTCAGGACACGGTGGTCTTTGCGGATGTGGCTGTGTGCTTCACTCGGGAAGAGTGGGCTTTGCTGGATGGTGCTCAGAGGAAGCTCTACAGAGAAGTGATGCTGGAGACCTTCAGGAACCTGGCCTCAGTGGGTAAGGATGGCTTTATCTCTCACTTAGTCTTTTAGGGGAAAAGTATTTCTTTAATTGTTTTTTTTTTTTGTTTTTTTTTTAATTGGGCCCAAGGAAGGGCAATATGTTGGGGGGGAAAAAAACAAAAAAACAAAACAAAAAAAGACAGATGCAATCCAAGCCTTCATGGGACATATCTCTAGAACCAAATGAAAAAAATTTTATATAATAAGTTGACTTTTTATTTATCTTGAACAAGCCTTGAGGCTCCCTAATTTTTATAAGGATGAGCACAGTCTCCAGTTTGCTGTGAAAACAGCTTTATGGTTCTCACCCTGTTCAAGTGTAACTAATACATATTTGACATGGTCATGCTACAATTAAATCCACACTGTACATCATCACTGGCCATGAAGCCCAAGTATGGGCCTTCTCATAGATTGTATGTTGCCCTTCATCCTCCATCATGAGGGCCTTTTCTCCAGGGGCAGGGCATCAGCCAAACACACCATCAATCTCCTAATTGCAGCTGGGACTGTGAAGAAAGGCTTCATTTAAGGGTCTCTGTGTCTGAGAACTCCACAGAGAACAACAACCCACAGGAGGAAAAGATTCTGGATAAGGGATTGATATTTGGACAAATCTGTTAGAAACATGACTCAATCTGTGTTTGAGAGGGTGAAGTTTTACATTTACCCTGCATTCCTGATGGACTTTTTTTGTATCTTCATTTACTTGGGAAGACTTTGGCATTTCCTCCTGTAAAGGGAACATTTGGGCACATGCATTCTGGCGTTCCTCCCTACATTACATTTTTTATAATATTTATCTTTAGTTGGTCTTTTATCTTTTTTATAGTATCTTAGTGGTCAGGCTGCCATTTTGACTCACTTTTCCTATTACTACCAAAGTCTCAAATAGCAAAGGTCCTTAGAGTTTTTCTTTGCTTACAAATTTATTTTTCCTTATAGAATTCATTTATACTTTTGGATAAGTATTTGAAAATAAATCCATACATAGTTCTTTTCTTTATTTCACCATTTCTTCCCCAGGAACTTAATTGAATTGTGCTATCAGTTCTTACAGATTGTTTAACTCAAGTTAAAACCCACGCATCATGTCCTGGGCAGGATACTTTGGAGAATGAACTATTCAGTGAAGAGAAAATACTAAGATTCATAAGAAGCGATTCCTGGTCTGTTTTTGGAGAAAACTTTACAGTTTATAACATTGCAGATGAACACCAACCTCAAAAGCAGCATCTCAGGTGAGAAGCACAGGGGATCTCAGCAGTGTTAGACTAACTTGAAATTAAAGAAAAACTACAAACCTAGCTAGCTAATCAGTAGGGTACTCAGAGAATTTTCACAAGACACTATTTTCATAAATGTGATATAGCTATTGAGTGTCTGAAACAGAACTCAGATGGAAACAATGAACAGGAGACCCTATATGTAAGTTATGGCCCTATTTTAGCTCAGCCAGAGCAATAAGCTTGTTTCATGATGGAATAATGCAGACAGTACCAAAAACATACTGGTGCATTAAAAATGATAAATATGTGGTCATTAGAACCATCAATAATCATTAATAAAGAAAACATTTATGATCCTTAATCACTAATAGTGTGTTTCCTGTTTTGAATAGAAATCATTTTGTGGAGAGAGTCTGTGAAACTAAGGAAGGTAATCAAGGTGAAGACACCCTGAAGCAGATCACAGGTCTTCCTGTGGATGAGAGACATAACACTGGAGTGAAACACTGTGAATGCACTAAGTGTGGAAAAGTCTTCATGGATTGTTCTTTCCTTATAAATCATCAGAGATCTCCAACTGGACACGAGCCTCATCCATGTGAGGAATGTGGACAACCCTGCAGGTTGGTTTCATGCCTGAGTACTCAGGAGAGAACTGATCTTGTGGAGAAGTCCTATAAATGTCAGGATTCTGGGAAAGCATCTAAGAAATATGTAAAGAGTCTCAATAATAAAAACTCTATTGAGTGTAAGAAATGTGGAAAAGCTTTCACCTGCCATTCATCCTTTCGGGGACATGTAAGAGGTCCATGTGGACAGAAAATCCATGTATGCAAAGTATGTGGAAAAGCGTTTATGTATTACCTTTACCTTACAGGACATGTGAGAACTCACACTGGAGAGAGATCCTATGAGTGTGAGGCATGTGGGAAAGCTTTCGGTAGTCTTAAGTACTTTAGAAGACATATGAGAACACACAGTGGAGCGAAACCCTATGTATGTAAGGAGTGTGGGAAAGTCTACAGGTATTTCACAAATCTGCAAGAACATGCAAGAACACACAGTGGGGAGAGACCCTATGTATGTCAGCACTGTGGGAAAACCTTTAGTCGTCACTCCTCCCTTCGAGGGCATGTAAGAACACACAGTGGAGTGAAACCCTATGAATGTCAGCAATGTGGTAAAGCTTTCAGGTTTCCTGCAAACCTGCAAGTACACGTGAGGACACACACTGGGGAGAGACCCTGTGAATGTCAGCACTGTGGGAAAGCATTTAGGTATGCTGCATCCCTGCGAGTACACGTGAGGACACACACTGGGGAGAGACCCTATGAATGTCAGCAGTGTGGCAAAGCCTTCACTAGTCACTCTTACCTTCAAAAACATGTGAGAACACACAGTGGGGAGAAATCCTATGAATGTAAAGAGTGTGGGAAAACTTTCAGGCAGCTTCAACATTTTCAAGGTCATATGAGAATACACAATGGAGTAAAACCCTATGAATGTAAAGAATGTGGGAAATCCTATAGTTTTCTCTCATCCCTCCGAATACACGTGAGAATGCACAGTGGGGAGAAACCCTTTGAGTGTCAGCAATGTAGGAAAGCCTTTAGTCGTCTCTCCTCCCTTCAAGGACATATGAGATCACACACTGGGGTGAAACCCTATGAATGTAAGGAGTGTGGGAAAACCTTCAGGTATCCTGACAACCTGCGAGTACATGCAAGGACACATACTGGGGAAAAACCTGATGAATGTCAGCAATGTGGGAAAGCCTTCAGGTATCCCACATCCCTGCGAAAACATGTGAAAACGCACAGTGAAAAAAATATCTGAATGTCAGCAATGTGGGAAGGTTTTCACATATCTTGATATCTGCAGGCACATGTGAAGACATACAATGAACAGACACCCTGAATACAAGAACCATGTGATGCCTTCATCCTTCCTTTAAAATTTGTGGTGTGAACACACTGTAGATAAAACTGTATGGATGGAAAGAATAAGGAAAAATCTTCAGATATATAGTACTCCACTTATTTTGTACATGAACATTCAGACCAGGAATGGAATATTTTAATTAGTTATTGTAAATATGATATTTCTGGTCCATGTTGCTGATATGAAAACTTGAGACAAGAAATATTTCTCTTTGTCCCTAAAATACTACATATATTTTATTATCTTAGACTTTATTATCTTGAACTTTTTTTTTCATAATTTAGTGATTTTCTTAGTCAAATTTACAATTGGAAAACAGGCCCAGAAAGCAAAAGTGATTTGCTAAATATCATACAGCAGTTAAGGATTGGGGAGGGGGCAATTAAGAATTGCTGGGCATACCCCCCCCCCCCCTTATTTTTGCCTGGCCAGTGTGGCTCAGTGGTTGAGCATTGACCTATGAACCAGGAGGTCATGGTTCGATTCTGGTCATAGCACATGTCCAGGTTGCAGGCTCAATCCCCAGTCTGGAGCATGCAGGAACCAGCCAGTCAGGATTCTCTCTCACCATTGACATTTCTCTCTCTCCCCCCCTCTCCCTTCTCTGAAATCAATAAAAATATATTTTAAAAAATTAAAATAAAATGGCAAATTTTTGTTTATATTTGTAAATTCTGAGTGTTAAACATATTATCCCTTTTATATTTTGCTCCTTTAAAATATTTAAAGTGTAAAAAGTTTTTTAAATTAGTCTACATACAATATTATTTTATATTAGTTTCAGATGTGATTAGATTAAGTGGTTTTTATTTTTTTATGTGAAATTATGTAATTTTATTTATTTCTATTTATTTTACTCACTGATCTACTGATCACATTAAGTAACAACATATGTACTTTTAAAAAATATGTGTTGATCTCCAGGTAGACAGAGAGTTAGAATTGAGTTAGACTGCAGGACATCTGGCTGGTGTCACAGAATTGCTTCTTGAGTGGAAATGCTCCTTTATCTGGTGGCCAAATGTGTCAGAAATGAAGTATTCGGTGTGAAAGTAAAGGAGAAAGACAGGAGGACAACTGTAGGCTTTTCCAGTACAATGTCTACTGAAGGATATACAGTGATCATAATGAAAAATTGTAAAACAGACTTAGTGACATCAAAGCATAAAGAAATGGAAAAGGTGCATGTTCTCTGAATGGAAACAATGCCACCATGATAGCAACTCTCCCAAATAAACTTCCATTAAATCTAAAACTCAGTAGGGTTTTTGTTTTTGTTTTTTAACTTCTGGAAAACTACTTGTTAAAACTAATATGACAAAATGCAAATGTCTATAAAGAGCTACATTTCTATAGAACAAGGTGGAAGGACTTTCCCAGAAACACATGAAGCTATTTAAGTCACATCAGTAACTGGGACAGCACATGCAGCCGGGGGAGGGACACACAGAGGTCACTGACACTGGACTATGTGGGATCTGAGTCTCTGCCAGAGCAGGCACGGCCCCAGGGGGGAAATGATGGACATTGTAACACACAGTTTATGAACATTTGAATCCTTATCTCCACCTACCTCATAAAGATGTGGAATTCAGTGTATTTGCCCCAAAATTATACTGGGAGAGAGGACATTTTATGTACTGAGTCAGTTTCTTCCAGAGATGTCCGTGGTTCAACCCCATGACAACAAAGACCTGAGAGTCTACTACTAAGAGTCTTACTAAGGAAAACAGGATAAATAAATAAATAAATAAATAAATAAATAAATAAATAAATAAATAAATAAAAATCAGTCATTTTACATCTGAAACCTGAGGCTTGAATACGGGGAAACTTAGTGCTGAGTTGGACACAGGCTGCTCACACGTGTCAGGTGACAGAGCTGAATCCTCCCTGAGACCTGTGCTTCTGGTAACATCCATGGAAGGTGTGAGAAGCACTACCCCCTCCCCAATCATTTGTTCTAGAAAAGGGCATGATGCAGGAACCACCTTCACCTTTCTATCCAGGCTTGTCCAGGTTGGATGCAGGTGCCTCAAATCCCATTCCACGCTTCATTGTCGATGAGCTAAATTGCTCATCTCCACGGACCAAGCAGAGCAAATGCCTGATGGCCAGACTTCGGTAGCTTCTCTCCTACCCCCAGCCCCCTGCAGCTGGCCTGTCCTCAACCTAAGCCGCTACAAAACACCCTCCTGAGGACAGGCTGGTCTCAGGGACCTGCCATCCCAACTACACCTGGTTCTTTCTGCATTTGTTCACTCTGCTCTAAAAAAAAAAAAAAAAAGAAGAAAAGCTATTTGGCCCAACTCTTGAGACACTTGCATATCATATGGTCAGAGCATTCTTGCCCTGAGTGCACAGACCCCTTTCCCCACTCCTTGTAATATTTCTTTGTAAAGTCTCTCCTTAGGAAGTTCAGATTTTTCTCCTTTTTTTTTTTTTTTTTTTTTTTTTTTTCATACTTCACTTGTAGGAGACAGGGTGTAAGCTGACAGAAGGGACGGATAAGATTCAGTCCCTCACCTACACCAGGATTCCCAGACTTGTTTGGATGGTGATTTCCAATTATCAGCAGAATAAGAGCACCGTATTTTCCGGCGTATAAGACGACTTTTGAAACAAAAAAAGTCAACCGAAAATCGGGGGCAAAAGACCAAAATTGCACAAAAATTACCTGCAGATCTTGACGGCAAAGTAAGTCTTTTCTTTGAAGTGGGGGGTAGTCTTATACAGCAAATATAGGCCTAAACCTATGTTTTAACTGTAAAAATTAGGGGGTCGTCTTATACACCAGAAAATAGGTAACCTTTCAGGGCTTACCAGAAGTCTAACTATTTACTGAGATTTGCTGTACCGAGAATTTGCCTTCCTGCTTTAGCTCTCCCTTAGAGAGTAACAGGAACAGAGTACTTCCTTTTGATCTGACCTCCCAGTCAGTGTTTGTGTATAAAAGGCATTGCGAGTGCGGAAGCTGGTTTGGCTCAATGGATAGAGCGTCGGCCTGCGGACTGAAAGGTCCCAGGTTTAATTTACGGTCAAGGGCATGTACCTTAATTGCAGGCACATCCCCAGTAGGGGGTGTGCAGGAGGCAGCTGATCAATGTTTCTCCCTCATAGATGTTTCTAACTTTATCCCTCCTCTCCCTTCCTCTCTGTAAAAAAAAAAAAAAAAATCAAATATATATATATATATATATATATATATATATATATATATATATATATACACACACACACATTTTTTAAAGGCATTGCGCAGTTTGTAAAGCTGCTGCAGTCTGTCAATGGCTCGCAGCCCTCCCGATCCCGCTTTCTTGTCTTTCTTTTCTTTTCTTTTATATATATTTTATTGATTTTTTTACAGAGGGGAAGAGAGAGGGACAGAGAGTTAGAAACATCGATGAGAGAGAGTTACCAACCAGCTGCCTCTTGCACACCCCCCACTGGGGATGTGCCCGCAACCAAGGTACATGCCCTTGACAGGAATCGAACCTGGGACCTTTCAGTCCTCAGGCCAACGCTCAATCCACTGAGCCAAACCGGTCTCGGCTTGTCTTTCTTTTCTTAATTTCCACCTCTCTACCTCAGCCCGGTTCACCTGTCAGGCTGGCCCTGACATTCACCAAATAATCACAATTGCCCATTTCATACCCAAAATTTTTTCAGGCTCCTGCTCCCCCACAGACCAGACATTGCGCCCCCCACCACCCACCCCCTGGCGTCTGAACAAGGCCCAGCTGACATGAGCCGAGAATATGCTGACCACCGGGAGGCCGGCTCCTGTCACACCCAGTTCCTGCTCACCTTCTTCCACTGAAAAGAAAAGCCCTTTTCTGTCTAATTTAAGAGGAGGACGCAGCTCTGAGATCCAAGCATCGTCCCTAAAGGAACAGGTTTTGAAATAAAGTCTCCTTAACCTCGTCCGGACAGAGCCGCACCTACCCTACAGCGCCCTCTCATCTCCCAGGCCCTGACCGCTGGCAACGGGGTCACGTCTGCTCTCCCTCCATCCCCTACCCCGCCATTCGCCTCGCCGCCACCCCTCTCACCCCGTCTCTTACAACGGGTTCCGGACCAGGTTCCAGAGGGGTCGCTCCAACTCCCGGACGGGAGCGCAGCACCTGCCCCGCAAGAGCCAGAGGGAGCTGTTGACGCGGGCTGCGAGCCCGCCCGCCCACGGCCAGGATTGGACGGTTGTCCAGGCGGTTCACCCTGAATGGACGGTGGCCCAGGTCCTCCTCCTCTCGGGAACGCTGATTGGACCAGATGCTGATTATCTTTCGGGAACGCTGATTGGATGGTGATACCGCATCTCCACAACAAACAAGACTCTGGCACGTTACCCTTGGCCCCGCCCCTGTGGCCCCCCATTGGACAGCGTTACAGACTTCCGGCGCTGGAGTGCTGGGCAGGGGAGCAGGCCCCTCAGGGAGCCAGGGGAGAGGCCGCAGTTCGCCTCAGCCCTTCCTGCCTGACTCCCGCCGCCCTGCACGGGGTTCGGAGCTAAAACAGCTGGGCACCCGCCTTTGTCCTCCATCTGTAACGGGAAGTACTGACTCGTTTTCCCGCGTGGCGTTCCTGATCCGACCCGGGGCCGGACAACAGGACTGATCACTTCCGGTGTCAGGGATCGCCCTGGGGGTAGGTTCACTGGGGCTCAGAGCTGGTCTCCAAGGACAGACACTCAACTGTGACATCACAAGAGGATGCAAAGTTTGCTAAGTTTTGAAGTGGGGGGTGGAGGGATGGAGGGGCGTCCCCCTCCCACTTTAGGTTGGAGCTGGGGTCAGGAAACCTTGGGCTCCTGTTTCTTCTCCTTGGGACGAGGCCCAGAGGCCCCAGCCTCCGTGTAGAACTGAGTCTCTCTGAGCCACAGGTGTGAGGTGTTAGAATTCTCAGGTGTGGGCATTACACTGCACGGAAATGTCTTTTAGACCCGTTTTTGAGGGTGCCGAGTTTTGTAATACTGTATAATAGATGGTTGTATTTCTATTTTCACTCATTTAAGAAAAAGCACTCAAAACTTAAATTGAAATACATGTGTTTATTTTGCCTGGTCAGCTGGACGATCATTGGTGTCTTGCCATGATATCGAAAATTACTGTACATGAGAGTCCCAGCAAAGCAGGGTGTGACTGACTGCGTGTAGGATTTACACATTGTGCTGCATTTGTGACAGGCATTTAAGTTACGTGCTATGGGTTAAGCTTCAGCCCCAGAATGGACATACTTGGATCAGAGCCAGTTCAGCTTCCAGAATAGACTTGAAGACCCATCACTTAGGTAACCTACCCAAGCCCATTGCCAAATTGAGCATGAACAGAAATGTTTATTGCAGCATGTAAGAAACAAAATTGGACTAATGGTCATTTATGCAATTAAAATAAATTTAACAATTACACAATCAACAAGTTAATGTCAGACAAGATAGGCCGCTTATTAAGTAGAAATTTTCTGTGCTCTCTGCTCTTTCCTTTTTGCTCCACTACTGATCTGGTAGGTCAGAGAAAGAAGAAATTTATAAGACTGACAAAGGATCAAGAAAGTCTTCATGCAGGAATGATCAGCGGGTGCATTTTTTTAGTTTATGCAAACAAGACTATGTAAATTTAAATATTTGGGAACAAAACTGTACTGAAATGATACGCAGATTGAATAAATCCAAATTGAAATGTAAATTGTGTCCTATCCATACTCTTGCCACATAGCAGTTTCACTTTGGTGTTTTATAGAAAAACAAGATGGCATTGTTTTTGTTTTTTAAATATATTTTATTGATTTTGTGCAGAGAGAAAGGGAGATAGTTAGAAACATCGATGAGAGAGAGTCATCGATCAGCTGCCTCTTGCACACTCCCCACTGGGGATATGCCCGCAACCAAGGTACATGCCCTTGACCGGAATCAAACCCGGGACCCTTCAGTCCCCAAGCCGACGCTCTATCCACTGAGCCAAACCGGTTTCGGCAGATGGCATTGTTTTAACTACATTACATTATATCCACTTTGGGAGTCATTCTGGTGTCATCAGTTTTTTCCTTTAATAATCATCACAATCAAAAATATTTCATATGACAATTACCATTCAGGAGTTCATCTGGTGGAACCACTGTTAGAAAACTAGAGTAAAAAAGCAATATTTGGAAAGAAATTTAGATTATGAGAAAAACTAGAGAGGTCCAAATTACTGCCAGCATATGTCATTCTGTTACTGTAAAAGTAAGCACTCTGTGAAATGTTGGAATTCATGAAAACCCACTAAAAATATCAAAATTTTAAAATAGATTTTTATTGATTTCAAAGAGGAAGGGAGAGGGAGATAGAAACATCAATGATGAGCGTCATTGATCAGCTGCTTCCTGCACACTCCCCATTGGGGATCAAGCCTGCAACCCTGGCATGTACCCTTGACCGGAATCGATTCTGGGACCCTTCCATCCACAGGCTGATGCTCTATCCACTGAGCCACATCAGATAGGGTGAAACTTTCTTTTTAATTCATCAGAATTTAATATCTAATAACTATATCTTAAAAGTTAAATACAAGTAACTTGTAAATCTCTGTGGGCTTAGTGTGTGTGTGTGTGTGTGTGTGTGTGTGTGTGTTAGTGTGTGTGTGTGTGTGTGTATATATATATATATATATATTTTTTTTTTTTTTTTTTTTTCAGGAAACACACTGAGGAATTACTACAGCCCTGCAGTAAAACACAGACAACCACAAAGGCTCCAGCCAGGACAAGGGAACCACATTCAAACACCTGAACTCTAACATACACACAGGGCGATGTGACACAAACTCACACACTGACAAAGGTGATGTCTCCAGAGACACACAGCCAGGCCCTCTGCAGCACCCATGCAACAGCCCTTCTCTCCTCAGGATGAGCAAGCACCATGTACTTCTCTCTCCTCCTGGAATGGGACAGGACGCTTCCTGAACCTCCACAGTACAAGCCTCTCCTCATCAGAGCCACTGGAGGCAGACCTGAGCGAGAAGTGTCAGGGGCCCACTGTGGCTGGGATTCTGACGTTCCAGGCTACCCCTGCAGCTTTCGGATTCTTCTAGAAATGCACTCATCACGTTGACCCTCTGTCACTCTGCTCAGTGAGGACAGTGAAGGCGTCCACACCTGAGTGCACTTGGCCTGCTGGTCTCATGTGCTGGCTCCATCTGCCCTGAGCGGCCCCAAATCCTCAGACAGCGGCGGCCACTTCTGAAGCTCAGCCACAGAGGTGGCTTTCGCAGGACCCAGGGGAGAAACTGAGCTTCCCTTTTCCCTACTCAGCCTCTTCTCTGAGTCTCTGCCCCACTGGCCTGCCCTGCATACTTCCAATAAGGCTCAGCCCCAGGTATCTCTGTAGAACTTCTTAAAAGGCTGCTGCAGAGACTCTGAAATCTCCATTTTCCACGGGCCACTGGGGTTGAGACTAGGCAGAGCACAGAGGTTAGAAGTGGACATGGGCACTGGCAGATGGCTCTGGAGCCTTGGATGGATCATGGGGAGAAAACTGGGTTGTTGGGAGAACAGTGGTTGGCAAACTGCGGCTCCAGAGCCACGTGTGGTTCTTTGGCCCCTTGAGTTTTTAGCAAAGGTCAGCTTAGGAGTGCCCTAATTAAGTTAATAACAATGTACCTAACTAGATAGTTTAAGTTAAAAAAAATTTGGCTCTTAAATTTCAATCATTTTACTATTGATATTTGGCTCTGTTGACTAATGAGTTTGCCGACCACTGTTGCAGAAGATGAGGTCATACTGGAGAAAGGTGGGCCCTCATCCAGTAGTTAAAAAAACGAGGCCACATGAAGAGACAGGCATGCACACAGGGAGAAGGCTGCCCTGTGAAGATTTGAGTGAAGCTGCCTCAAGCCAATGAATTTCCAGAAGCTGGGAAGAGGGGAACACATGCTGCCCTGGCACTTTCGGAGGAAGCTGGTCCTGCCAACACCTTGATTTTGGACTTCTGCCTACAGAACGAGGAGACAACAGTTTCTGTTGTCTCAAGCCATCCAGTTGATTTTCCTTGAAAATAAAATACATTAAAAAAAAATTAAACTCCTATGAAGGAACTGAACTTAGTTCTGTATAACAGAAATCTCCCCAAAGCTGCTAGATGAGGAAGGTGTTTGTTCTCACAAAGAGCTGGGTTAGCTCACTTAAAAATTCAACAGGTCAACGAAGCCCCAAGTGTTTTATTTTGCTGCAATACTATAGTTTTTGTGGTGGAGGCAGGATCAGAGAATCGTGGAAAGTATTAAGAACAGTGTTTGCTATACACATTAGACTTTATGAACTATGTTACCATCTAGAGAAGAGGGTGAATCACAGTATTAAAGTCACTGACCATGAGTTTGGATTAGTGGTCCGGAGGACACCTAATCCTGGGAAAATATAGGTCCGGAGTACCTGACTACACAAATGTCTGGATCATTGATACCGAGTGAGCTCATGGAGATGTCTGTGGAAGCCTGTACCTCTGAAAAGAGTGGAAGTCAAGCACTTGCATTTCTTTTGATGATATTCTTTATCAGTCAGGCAAAGAAACCAGGGAGAGGGGCTGAAAGCTAGGATCTAGAAGCCCTACCTTTCTATCACACTTTAAAGTAGCTCCAAAAAATAATGGTTTGGGCCAGGGGTCTTGCTGGTAGTGCTGATGTCATCAAGGTTAGATCTAAGGTTAGGGTTAGGGCTAGGGTTCAGGCTCAGGTTCCAAATCTGATGCCAAGTTAGGCCACTGGTGAATTAGAACATGGAATTATAAAGGATTCTGGGACCTGCAGTTCCCATTGGCCACGATGACACAGCACAATCCAACAGAACCATCTCAAACTCTGTCTCTCTCGTGATACCACAAGCATTTCTTTAGTAAATGCCTACTGTTCAATTCCCAATCACAAGCAAGAACAACAGGGGTGGGCAAAAGCTGAAAACAACAATTCATATAATTTTATAATTACAAAAACCACTTACAAGAAAAATGGAAGACTCCTCTGGCCAAAATATATGATGGTTGATATCCATATCTGCCACATTAAGTCAGTAAAAAACATCCAACAAATAAAGTGTCATTGTTCCAATAACCCTTTACAGGACCATTTAAAGAAAACAAACTAATGATAAAAGTTTTGTTTATTGAAATGTAAAAAAAAACCAAAACACTACATGAAAATTTTATGTACTTGGAGAGTTATTTTTCACCTAAATGTTTATTTGCAAAAAACTGGAAATATACTACCGATGGGTCCATTTTAATAATGAGATACTCATAAAGGCAACACCATATTCACAGCTTTCATAAGACTTCCCTCCGGGTGTGAATTTTCTGAAGCACTGTGCATGAATACACTTGCAGGACTTCCCACATTATATATGCAGTGTTTTTCTGTAGTGTGTGTTCTCGTATGTCTTCTTAAGGATGAGGAACAACTGAAGGCTTTCCCACATTGCTTACATGCATAAGGTTTCTCTCCAGTATGCATTCTCATGTGTATTGGTAACGATGATGGCCATTTGAAGACTTTCCCACATTCCTTACACTCATAAGGTTTCTCTGCGGAGTGTTTTCGCACATGCTGTTGCAAAAGTTCGGGCCAACTGAAAGCTTTCCCACACTGCTTGCATTTGTAGAGTTTCTCGGCAGTGTGCCTTTTCATATGTTTTTGTAAGGAGATGTGGCAATAGAACGCTTTCCCACATAGTTTGCATTCATACGGTTTGTCTCCCGGATGCATTCTCACATGTTCTCGAAAGCAAGCAGGCAAATTGAAGGGTTTTCCACATTGTTTACATTCATAGGGCTTCTCTTTAGTGTGTGTTCTCATGTGTTTTCGTAAGGATACCGGCCAGTTGAAACTTTTCCCACACAGAGTGCATTCATAAGGCTTCTCTCCAGTGTGCACTCTAATATGTCCTTGAAAGGACGAGGGATGGCTAAATGCTTTCCCACATTGGTTACATTCATAGGGTTTCTCTCCACCATGAGTTCTTTCGTGCCTTCGGAATGACTGGAGGTAAATAAAGGTTTTCCCACACTGTTGGCATTCATAAGGTTTCTCTCCAGTGTGAATCCTTTCATGTCTTCTAAAGGATTGGAGATAAATGAAGGTTTTCCCACACTGTTTACATTCATGGGGTTTCTCTCCGGTGTGTGATATCATGTGTCTTCGAAAAGCTGAGAAGTAACTGAACGCTTCTCCACATTCCTTACATTTATGTGGTGTCTCCCCCGTGTGCGATATCATGTGCCTTCGAAAAGTTGAGGAATACCTGAAGACTTCCCCACATTCCTCACATTTATAGGGCTTCTCTCCAGTGTGTGTGATCATGTGCCTTCGAAAAGTTGAGGAGTAGCTGAAGGCTTTCCCACATTCCTTACATTTATAGGGCTTCTCTCCAGTGTGGGATCTCAGATGACTAGTAAGACTTGAAAAATCAATGAAGGCTTTCCCACATTGCTGACATTCATAGGTTTTCTCCGCAGTATGAATCCTTATATGCCGGTTGAGGGAAGAAGTACGAGGAAAGGTTTTTCCACATAACTTACATGCATAGGGCCTCTCTCCTTTGTGAGTTCTCACATGCACTCTTAGGTCTGAAGAACAACTGCAGGCCTTCCCACATTCCTGACACTGATATGGTTTGTGTCTAGTGTGAATGGAAATGTCACTCTGTAGAAATGAATGATGCAAGAAGACTTTTGCATGTGCACTGCATTCATTCTCTTTTACATCGGTAAAGGCTTTCTGGTACAGATTAAGATCTGAAGTCGGACTGAAGCCTTCCCCATATTGATCATTACTCTCACAGAGTCTCTCCACCACATAATTTCTGTTAAAATATGAGAAATGTGTTATCAATAGTTTGACTAATCATAATTTCTTGCCCTAGTGGGCTTTGCTTAGTGGTTACAGTGTTGACCCACAGACTGAAGGGTATCAAGTTCAATTCCAGTCAAGGACACAGAACTCAGTTGCAGGCTCAAAGGCTTGATTCCCAGTCCCAGTCAGGGCACATGTGGGAGGCGACCAATCAATGTTTTCCACACACCCCCCCCCCCACCCATTCCCTTCCACTCATTCTAAAAAATCAATGGAAGAAATATCCTCAGGTAAGAATTAACAAAACAAAACAAAAAAAAAATAATTTATTAATATTAATATTAGAATTACATTCTCACAACTTCAGTAAATATGTTGTTTTCTATCCTAAGTAATTTGTTTTATTTTTTTTAATTTTTTTTTTAAAATATATATTTTATTGAATTTTTATTGAGAGAGGGATAGAGAGCTAGAAACATCGATGAGAGAAACATCGATCAGCTGCCTCCTGCACACCCCCTACCGGGGATGTGCCGGCAACCAATGTACATGCCCCTGACCGGAATCGAACCTGGGACCTTTCAGTCCGCATGCCGACGCTCTATCCACTGAGCCAAACCGGTTTCAGCCTAAGTAATTTGTTTTAAAGTGGAATGAACAGAATATATTGCCCACAGCCATTATGAAAATAGTGTTTCCTAAACATGGGCTTTTCTCCTAATTCTTTTCAACTGTTTCTAACACTCAACATCTAAGTCATATTTAATAAAGGTGTTTCTTTTGTGTGTGAAAATCTGAATATATAGATTTGATCTAGGCTTATGTGGGTTCTTAGTTTGTTTGCTATTTATTTATTAATTTTAATATATTTTATTGATTTTCTTACAGAGAGGAAAGAGAGAGATAGACAGCCAGAAACATTGATGGGAGAGAAACATCAACCAGCTGCCTCTTGCACACCCTCTACTGGGGATGTGCCCGCAACCAAGGTACATGCCCTTGACTGGAATTGAACCTGGGACCTTTCAGTCCGCAGACCAACACTCTACCACTGAGCCAAACCGGTTTCGGCAAATTGTTTGCTTTTTAAATTTCAAGACATACTAAGATTCCTCCAGGAATGCAACTCACCTCAGATCTCTCCACTGGTTTGTGTGCTTATCTTCAATGCTAAGTTCTTCCCAAATTTTTCCTAAGACAGAGACCCAAGAATTTCTGGTGAACTTCGCTATTTTATCTTCCTTGGACATTTTATTCACATAAATATCCTGCAGAAAATCTGACCCATTGGACCTAAATTGAGTCTCATAATCTGAAAATATAAAGGGAGCAAATGTTAGCCAAATGTGACACTGAGAAAGTTAGCTGTGTCAGGACTTCACCAATAACAAGCACAAAAGGTCAAAATGGTAAGCAATTTAATAAACAGTAAAATTCTCACAAAGTTACAAAAACAAACTTTACTGGGCGGCCTAATAACCCATGAAACCTATATCCACAGATAACACTTTTCTTACCTGAAAAGAAAAACTCAGTCTAAATACACAGAGATTCTCATTTTCATGGAGGAGCTATTAGATTCTAGCTCGATGACAGTTATGGCAATGTCTTTCTTAATAATCAATGTACTCCCGTTCCACATTCCAAATCTGGGAACAGTCTTGATATGCAAAAAATGCATGTTTCCTAAGTGACTAAGGGAAGGAACAATGTCACTCTTACCCACGGATGCCAGGTTTCTAAAGGTTTCCAGCATCACGTCTCTGTAGAGCTCCCTCTGAGCAGCATCCAGCAAAGCCCACTCCTCCTGGGAGAAGTCCAAAGCCACATCCTCAAAGACCACTGAGTCCTGAAACATCCAATATATGTGCAGGAGGATGAGTGAGACTCACAGTCCTGAGCAACTGGGCTCAATTCACCTAACATCTAGTCTATAACTCATCATCAGAACCTTATACTCCATGTCCACACTCAAGTCCTCAGAGATAATAAACCTACCTCTACATTTTTACTGTGTTCACTTCAAGACTTATTCTCTAACCAAAGGGTTCAGACCACATTAGGGAAATTAAAGAAATTCTATGCAAATTAAACAAATATTCATACTTTATGAACCACTAATCCCATGTGACACAGACAACTTCAGCTCCTTCCCTACTGCGTACCACATCACTCAGTACTATGTGAAGCCCAAAGTAAAACCTGGATGAGGGCTTACATTTAAAAAAAAAAATTATTTTTCAATTACATACAATACTATATTAGTTTTAGATGTACAGCATAGTGATTAGACATTTATATAAGTTACCAAGTGATCACCCTGATAAGTACCCACCTGACAGCATACATAGTTATATTACAATATTACTGACTAAACTAGAGGCCTGGTGCATGGATTCGTGCACATTGATTAGAAGTGGCCGGTAGGGCAGGACTGGGCGAGACAGGCCGGACATGCCCTGGAGCTGATCTCTCGCAGTCCTTCCCTGTCCAGCTCACCTGGGGCAGCACCGAGGCTTGAAGGTCGTCTGTGGAGTGAGCGGGGTCCCTCTGGCAGGTAGAGTTCCTCAGTCTGGCCTGCAGGGATCGGGCCAAAACCAGCAGCCCAAGTGTGAGAGAGCACTCTGCAAAGTTGCTGTTGCTCAGCAGCTCCTGCATTGAGCATCTGCCCCCTAATGGTCATTGCACGTCATAGCTATCAGCCAGTTGGCTGGTTGGCCAGTCAGCTGATCACTTAGGCTGTTGTATATATAGATTCCCTATGCTATACTTTACATTCCCATGACTACCAATTTGTACTTTTTAAAAAAATTTTGCTTTTGTTAATCCTCACCCAAGGATATTTTTCCATTGATTTTTTTTTTTTTTTTTTTTTTTTTTTAGTGGCATTGAGAGAAGAAGGGGGAGAAAGAGGAGGAGGGAGGCAGGAAGAGAGAAATATTGATAAGAGACATGTCGGTCAGTTGCCTCCTGTACACACACCAACTAGGGCTGGGGATTGAATCTGCAACCCAGGTACGTGCCCTTGACTGGGAATAGAACCCGAGACCCTTTGGTGTGTGGGCCAACACTCTAACTCAGGAGTGGGGAACATTTTTTCTACCATCAGCCATTTGGATATTTATAACATAATCTGTAGGCCATATAAAACTATGAAGTAAGTACAAATATGGATAGGGCCTCTGATGGGAGATAAACATGACAAATCTGACTCCAAGAGGGCTGACTCACTGGATAGGTAGGCTGCTTCTGGCCCTGCTGGCTACATGACAAAGAAAAAAAGAAAAGAAAAAAAAAGATAGTTTTGGTGAGGCCTTTGAGTGTTTTTTTGTTTTGTTTTGTTTTTAATATATTTTATTGATTTTTTACAGAGAGGAAGAGAGAGGGATAGAGAGTCAGAAACATCGATGAGAGAGAACATCAATCGGCTGCCTCTTGCACACCCCCGACTGGGGATGTGCCCGCAACCAAGGCACATGCCCTTGACTGAATCGAACCCGGGACCCTTCAGTCCGCAGACCGACGCTCTATCCACTGAGCCAAACCGGTTTCGGCGAGGCCTTTGAGTTTTGTTTTCTCCTTTAGCAAGGGGAAAAAAACCCCTGAGTTCCCAAAGGTGACCTTTGGATGGGCAAAAGTGCTAAAAGTTTGCATTATATCAAGAGAGAAAAAAAGCTCAATCAGTTCCCAGAGTTGGAGCAAAATTTTAGATAAACCAAGGGGAAGGGGGTAGGAGACAGCCAGCTGGAACTGCTGTAGCCTCCTGACCCACCCTTGCATTCTGGCCAGGACCTTCCCTGACAGCTGTAATTTTATCTTTGTAAACGCTGAGTTTATAACCAGGGCTTTATTATGGATTGAACTAGGTTCCCCCAAAAAAGGTACGTTGAAATACTAATCCCTGCCGAAATCAGTGTGGCTCAATGGATAGAGCGTCAGCCTGCAGACGGAAGGGTCCGGGTTCGATTCCGGTCAAGGGCATGTACCGTGGTTGCGGGCACACCCCCCAGTAGGGGGCGTGCAAGAGGCAGTTGATGGATGACTCTCATCTATGTTTCTAACTATCTCTCTCCCTTCCTCTCTGTAAAAAATAAATAAAATATATATATATATAAAAGAAAATAAATGCCAATATTTAAAAAAAAATACTAATCCCTGGTACCCATGAACGTAATTTTTCTTGGAAATAAGGGCTTTGTAAGTATAATCACGTTACAACGAGGTCATGACAATGGGTCCAAATCCAATGTCCTTAGTAGAGGAAGATGACACCTGAGGCCAGAGAAGCACAGGGGAAATGGCACGGGAAGAGGAATGCAGAGATGGGACTCCCCGAGCCTGGACTGCCAGAAGCTGTGACAGACGAGGCATGTTCCTAGAACAGTGGTTCTGAGGGGGCGTGACACCATCAATAACTTGATGTTGGACTTCAGCCCCCAGAAATTGTGAGAGAACAAAATTTTAAGGCCCCCACACTGGCTGCTTCCTATGGCCGCCCTAGGAAACTAATACAGGTGTGAGTGAATCTGCAATGAGAATAAAGGGGGAGGAGATTTTTTACTTAAAATGAGTGATGCCTGCAATTGCACGTATGATAAAAAATGCTGCAAATGGCATATCCATTTAACTTCACCAGTGCTAGTGGGATCACCCCAATCTGTACAAAGAAAAAGTATCAGTGAGACACAACTTCCTTGCTTTTTTGCCACTGTGCATGGGTTGGAATATAAACTTTAAGTATTAGAAACAAGATTAGGTCTCCATAACTCATGACTTTAAAAAATATATATTTTATTGATTTTTTAATATAAAATAATTGTATTTTATTGATTTTTTACAGAGAGGAAGAGAGAGATAGAGAGTTAGAAACTTCAATGAGAGAGAAACATCAATCAGCTGCCTCCTGCATACCTCCTACTGGGAATGTGCCCGAAAACAAGGTACATGCCCTTGACCTGAATTGAACCTGTGACCCTTCATCCACTGATGCTCTATCCATTGAGCCAAACCGGTCAGGGCATAAAAACCTATTTCTGATGACCTGTAGAGGCTGACAATTGTCCAGAGTCAATTTGGACTCTAAGACAGACGAACAAAAAGGGCTAAGGACCCGTCTCCTTTCTGCTGGCACATGGGCCACGGCTGTCTGCCCCTGCAGTGTCTCAGCCTTCGGACTGAGAAGGAAAGGTCCTGGTGTTCGCTGGCATTCTGAACTCACAACACTTGCATTTACACTTCCTGGGCCTGGCTGTGAGCTAACACCCATCAGCGCCAGGACGGGCTGCTTCGGCCTCCGTACACACTGCGCTGGCCCGAAAGCAGGCAGAGGCTCCACGAACAGGACTTGGACTCTGGAACGTGGGAGGCTTCGCCCAGCTCTCTGTGAGGCCCTGAACTGGGGAAACCTCCTGGATGCAAGGGGGTCTGGTGGGATCCGTTACCGTTGTCTATGACTAAGGCTTTGTTCTACCACAGCATCATCTGAAACCCAGCTGCTCACGTCACAACCGTTAGCGCCCCCCCTGGCAGATCACCTTCAGATGCCCTCTGCACCGCTGCGGTGGGCGAACGGGTGCTGTGGCTAAACAAAACTGTCTGAAACCGACCACCTCAGCAGTCCCTCTGAAACAAGGACTGGACTGAATTATTGGGTCTGCTCTGAGAACTCTGAGGACACAGGGGGGCCTGTTGTCCTGGCTGGCTGGCTGAGCATCAACCCATGCACCAAGAGGTCACCAGTTCAACAGCATGTCCCGCTGGGGTGCCCTGACTACTGTAAACGCTGAGTTTCCAGGGGAGCAAGTGTGCCCTCTGGGACTGTGCTTCTCGGGCGTGTGTCCCATCAGGACGCCGTCTTATCTGTGGATAAGGCACTCAGGTCAGCTTCAACTTACTGGCCAGAGTGGTGCAGTGCGGGAATTGACACCTGAAGCCAGGTCAAAAACAACGGAATACAGATATTTGAGGAAGACCACCGCCACCCCCATTCCTAGCTTTCTAAGACCTTTACAGTTAAAGGGATTTAATTGAACTGGCTAAGTCCAGGACTCCCAAAGGGCATAACGAAAACCAATACTCAGGTGGTTCTCACCCTACTGTAGAGGACCCTACTAATAATTTTGCTATAAAGAGCCGAAACCGGTTTGGCTCAGTGGTTAGAGCGTCAGTCTGTGGACTGGAAGGTCCCAGGTTCAATTCCAGTCAAGGGCATGTATCTTGGTTGCAGGCACATCCCCGGTGGGGAGTGTGCAGGAGGCAGCTGATGGATGATTCTCTTTCATTGATATTTCTAGCTCTCTAGCTCTCTTCCTTCCTCTCGGTAAAAAAATCAATAAAATATATTTTAAAAAATAAAATTTTGCTATAAAGGTATCTTGTGCAGCCCGGCTGGGGTGCCTCAGTAGTTGAGTGTCAGACCATGCACCACGCGGTCACCCTTCATTCAATTCCGTCAGGCACATTCCCAAGTTGCCTGCTTAATCCCCAGTAGGGGCGTGCAGGAGGCAGCCCATGGATGTTTCTCCCTCACTGATGTTTCTATGTCTCCCTCTCCTTTCCTCTCTCTCTAAAAATAAATAAAAATGTGTTTTTTGGGTGTTTTTTTTTTTTTAAAGATGCCTTATTCAAGGGCCAAGGGAACAGACTGTGCAGAAGTGTCAGCGGAGCTGGCCTGAGAAAGTCCTCAGAAGTCCTGCTTGCGAGGCTGGCCCTGGACGGGCATGTGAGAACTTGGATTGGGGAGAGTTCCCAGAACCCTGACACAAGTAGCTCCCTCTGCCTTTTTATACAAACAATCAGACTTCTGCCAAAGACCTGCTCTCCTCCTACGAGTCTGAATTTTTGTTCGGGCCGGGTAGAAGCTGCCTACATGACTGGCCCCCAGTAAAAAACCTGCTACCTACTGAGTTCTCGTTAACTATCCTGGTGGCTTTTCAAATGTGCTGTCACACCTGGCTGCTCTGTGATGGGGACCCTGTTCTCCGTAGAACTGGGCCTTGGGCACCTTTCTCCTGGGCTGCCTGGGCTTTACTCTTGCATCGCAATAAGTCATGGTCATGAGCAAGACTACCTACTGTCACAAATTCTCCACCCCGCCCAGGAAAAGAACTGATATTTTGGTGAATCTCTATAATTCACCAATTCACCTACCACCCTACGCGGACATGTATTCATTTCTCCGCTGCCATATTGGAAGGTGTTGGGCACGTTCTTGTACCCCATTATGCTCTGCTGGGGGTTCTTGCCCCTCCCCATGACTGTCCAGTCATTCTCATTCTAGGTCTCCTGGTTAGCGGCCTCCTCTTCCAGTGACCCCCCTCACCAGTCTCCAGTGGATCGCCTCCCCCTGACCCCCATCCGCACCTGTCCCACCAGCTACTCTGCCCCTCACAAGTGACATAATCTCCTGCTCCCCCTACTCTGCCCCGCCCCCCTGCTAGCAGATGTAATAATAAATTTAAAATGCTTTACCCATTTTGGCTCCGGAGTTCCTCTTTCAGAGACCCTAACAGAAGGGTTTTCTGTTTCTCTGACTGTCATTTCCCCAGTAGGATTTTCAAGGCTAAGCCCTGGAATTCCTTTTCTTATATCACTCAAAGGAACAGAAGAAGGTTTAACAAATGGAAAAAAAGACACTCTTCCTCCCTCCCTCCCCCCATGAAATTCATCTCTTAGGAAATATTAACTTTCCTGTTCTATTAAGTAGAAGTATTTTATATTTTGCGGAAAACTAAGGCTCCAATAAGTGAATACGTACATCTTTTCAAGGGGACAAGCCCAGGTAGGGGCAGTGCTGAACCGGAACATAAACACAGATGACTTCAAAATAAGATTTCAAGGAGCCATCCCTCTCGCAGGTGCTCCCTGAACAAAGGACACACAGTGAGTCCCAAGTACAGGTAGGTGGCTTTGCAGGTGACTGCTACACCGCTCTGCATGAGCTTCCCCAGTCTTCTGGGTTAGTTTCTCTCCCTTCAGGGACCGAATCATTTCCATCTTTCTCCTATATACCAGGGGCCTGTCAGCCTCCAAGGATTCATAACTGGGGTCGGGGTCAGTAGATCCGTCCTAATTTGGGGCCCACACCCAGGTCTCCGCAGACTCCCCGCCCATCCCGCTGGCTGTCCCCGGAGAGGAGCCGGCCATGGGGATACGGGATACTCCCCGCCCCCGGGTGGATGCGGCGATGTGCATCTGAGTGGCCCGAAGCCCAGATTCTGAGACCCAGGACCCAGCGGAGCGGCCGGACAGGACTCCAGGGCTCCACCCCGAGCCGGAGGAGGAGACTCGGTCGGGACCCGGGGCGTGCGGGGAGATCCGGCCCGCGGCCGCTCCCAGCCCCTCCGGGTCTCGGCCCTGCCCCGCGTACTCACCATGTCCGGGCTCTCCGGGCGTCCGCTCCCCGGCCCGCGCAGGTGGGAGCTGGGATGCGCGGGGCAGGTGCGCGCAGACGCCGCAGTCTGCCGAGAGCGACGTCCACGCCCCTTTCCTTCCACGGGACCTCTGATTGGAGGTTGTCCCGATCCTGCGTCTTGAGTGGACGGTGTTCAGGCACGCCCACATCCGTGGGCCTATGACGAACTGTACTCGAGACCCGCCCTGGAACTTCTGATTGGAGCGTTCTCCGGGACCCGCCCCCGCATCCTGATTGTTCCCTATGCACCATCCTCATAGCTCTGATTGGATAGTTCCCTCAGGCCCCGCCCCCACGTCTGAGTGACAGGCCGTCGGGACACTCTTGGCTGGCCACAGCCCAGGACGCGGACTCAGAGAAGAAGCCTTTCCCCGTGGGTATGGATCCATCCGCAGCTCCGCCGCGGGGTCTGAGTCCTTCCTCTTGGTGCGTTCTCGGTGCGGAGCTGGGACGGAACAGGAGGGTCTCGTGAACTGGGGGCAGCGCAGGGCGGAGCACCGTGGATCGGTGCGCTTTGTTTAAAAACAAAGACCATAGTGACGTCTCCGCGTGCACAGCAGGGTCCCGCTAGGGTTTGACTTGTGACCTTGGACACGGGGAGACCCCGCCCTCTGCCCTCACCTTGGGGCTTGAGGTCAGGTCAGCGACCCGAGGCCCCGGTTCCTTTGCCCCCAAGGAGATAAGTGGGACCCTGCGGCCTGAGCCTGCACAACAGGGCTCCTCTCAGCACAGCCAATTTTTAAAATTAATTTTTAAAGCTTTGAATTAAAATATTAATTGGATTTATAAGCTATTTAAAATAAAACATGGTTATATGCATTTTTGTTTAATATGTATCACTAATTATTGCCAAGTTTTAACAAATCAGCATGGAGTTTAGAAGTTGGCCTTCAGATTGGGGGTCCTGGCATGGACCTCTAGCACTCCTGTTTGTCATACGTGTCCAGAGATCTATCCTTGGTGCATCACTCTTAATAAACATGTCATTTCATTTATTAAGGTGGAAAATGAGGCTGGTCCCTGAATTATTGATAAAAAGCAAGAGAAGAGAATAGCAACAATAGCAATCTTAGGGGTAAAAGGTGTGATTAAAAGTATTTGGGCCGAAGCCGGTTTGGCTCAGTGGTAGAGCGTCGGTCTGGGGACTGAAAGGTCCCAGGTTCGATTCCGGTCAAGGGCATGTACATTGGTTGTGGGCACATCCCCAGTGGGGGGTGTGCAAGAGGCAGCTGTTCAATGTTTCTCTCTCATTGATGTTTCTAGCTCTCTATCCCTCGCTTCTCCTCTCTGTAAAAAAAATCAATAAAATATATTTAAAAAAAAAAGAAAAAGGTATTTGGAACACACTAGAGTTTACTCATGCACAGAGAAAACAAAGCCATGTTCAAACACGCAAGGAGTGAGAGGGCCAGGACAAAACAAATCCCTTCTCTCCCCAGCCTCCCTCCGGAGCCTCCCATTAGCAGAGGCTGATGGGAAGCTGTTGGCATTGCCACCGTCACAAAGCACAGTGTGAAAGGGTAAGTGGCAGCAGAATAACAGCCCCCTACAGCTGTGCACATCCTATATCACCTCCATGGCAAAAGGGACCTTGCAGGTGGGGTTGGGTTAAGAATCCTGAGACGGGGAGTGACCTCCTGAAACCCAGCTTTTGAATCATCTGTATTTATTTTTTAATTTACATTTTAAAATTGAATTTATTGGGGTGACAAGGTTAATAAAATTACATAGGTTTCAGGAATACAATTCTGAAACACATCATCTGTATATGGTATTGTGTGTTCGCCATCCTATGTTAATTCTCCTTCCATCATCATTTATCCGCCTTTATCCTCTTCTATCTCCTTCTCCCCGCCCCCCCTCACCTCCCTACCCCATCTCCCCCCCCCCCCCCCCCCCCCGCTCCCCGCCATGCCACCGGTAGTCACCATGCTGTTGTTTATATCTATGTGGTGGTTTTTGGGTTTTTGTTTTTTTTCTTAATCCCTTTACCCTTTTCACCTAGCCCCTAAACACCCTCCGCTCTGACAGCTCTGTATTTCTGATAAGGAGGCCAATTGTGTTTCTGAACTTGTGGCTGCCACCCAAAACTGCAGGGGCGGGGAGGGGAGTCTGATGTCCCCATGTTTGAGAGCTGCTATTCCCCTTGCCCTTCTGATTGACTTGCCTTAGTAAGGCAGTCTCACTATTAAATGCAGCTGTCCCTAGCTTTCAAAGATGGTCTTAAAAAGGAAGACCATCCTAAGACCCTGGCCCAGTAGCTCAGGCAGTGTTTCCCAAAGTGTGGTACGCGTACCCCCACGGGTACGGGAAGAGTTTGGTGGGCAAACACGTTGCACCGGAGTTAGGTGAGTACTCACTGTTACAAAAATTACAGAAGGGGTACACATATGTCAAAAGTTTGGGAAACACTGGTTAGAGCATCACCCTGGTTTGGGGTTTGATCCCTGTCAGGGCACATACAAAGAATCAACAAGTAAATGCATAAATGGGTGGAATAGCAAATTGATGTTTCACTCTCTCCCTTCCCCCCTCTCTCTCTGAAATCAATGCCCTTTAAAAAGGAAGGAAATTCTGCCACCTGCTACAATGTAGATGAACCTTGCGGATTTTATACTGAGTGAATTAAACCAGATACAAAAGGGCAAAACTGTGATTCCACTGGGGCGGGGGGGGGGGGGGGCGCGAGGTCCCTAGAGAAATCAGATCCATAGAGACAGGCGGTAGAATGGTGGGAGCCAGGGCCTGGGGGTGGGGAAGGAGAGCCAGCGTTTAATGGAGACAGGGTTTCCGTTTGGGAAGATGAGAACGTTTTGGAGATGGTGAACATGGTAAATTTTGTTATATGTATTTTACCGCAACTAAACGTTTTTTAAGTAAAGAAGATGGTGCTTTCCTGGGCAGCCTTACCCCCTCCATGGGCAAAGGTGCCAGACCTTCAGGTCTCAGAGGTGCTCCCAGCCTAGGAATGATCACAGGTCTCCAGGGAAAGGCGAGCTGGTCACTCCTTGTGCTTACATGAAGCACGAGAAGCTGGGCCCAGGCACTCATGGGAATTCTCCCTCCTTCCCCACATAACAAGGGGGCTCCCTTCTCTAACAAGGAACTTATTCCTGGCATATATACTGAGTGGCCAGGTTATTATCATCTCTGAACACATAATCTGGCCAGTGTGTGTGTGTGTGTGTGTGTGTGTGTGTATTAGAGCCCTGGTGTATGAACTCGTGCATGGGTGGGGTCCAGCCAGCCTGGCCAGGGGGAGGGGACATGGGCAGTTGGCTGGCCTGCCCGCTGGTCAAACTCCTGGTTGAGAAGACAATTTGCATGTTAGCCTTTTATTATATAGGATACACAGGGCATTCAGAGATCATCATAATCGGGCCACTCAGTGTATGTTCCCTCCAGCTGCATGTCAAAATTGTTTTGCTAATCTGACAAAAAAAAAAATAGATGTAATTTGTTTTATTCACACTGGACGGCTATTGTGTTGGCTGACAATCTAAGAGAAAAGAGGTGAGTGCCCCGACTAAATAGTCAGGTCCTGTATGTTTTAAAAATTCTGGTGGCACACCAGCTGGAAATTGCTGCTCTGCTGGTTGAAGCCATCCACCAGGGCTACACAGGTGTCCCCTGCCCCTCTGCCTCAGGTTTAATCTAATCCCAACCAGCAAGTATGTATAAAACGGTTACAAACATCTCAAAACACAAAAGCTCAGTCCTTTCATTTATTTATTTTTTAAAGTATGTCTTACTGATTCTTTACCGAGAGGAGGGGAGAGGGATAGAGAGCCAGAAACATCGATGAGAGAGAAACATCGATCAGCTGTCTCCTGCACACACCCTACTGGGGATGTGCCCACAACCAAGGCACATGCTCTTGACCGGAATCAAACCTGGGACCTTTCAGTCCGCAGGCTGATGCTCCATCCACTGAGCCAAACCGGTTTTGGCAGTCCCTTTATTTTTTTAATCCTCACCCGAGGTCATGTTCATTTATCTGTTGCCTTCTGCACACACCCCAACTGGTTTGGGGTATTAATCTGAAACCTCAGAATGTGCCCTGGTTGGGAATCACACCCACAACTCTTTATAGGGATAACACTCCAAGCACATGACCCTGGCCAGGGCTTTCTCAATGTTCCCGGTAACCTCCACCTTCCCGGCACAGCCCTCCTAGCCACACGGTGCTACAGCTCTGGACAAGGCCAGCCAAGAGAACACTTGCCTCATTGCCCCAGGCTTTAAGGTACAGGTGTGGATTCAGGGAGCTCTGTGCCAGATCTCCATAAGGGGGGACCCCACAGCAGGGCTGGTGAGGGCGGTCGGGTGAGGGGCAGGCAGCTGTCCCCACTACCAACAGGCCACCTGGGCCTTGGGGAGAAGGGTCAGGGTGCTGCCTGACCCCTCGCTTCACTGGTCCTGGGTGGACGGGGGGGCAGTTGGGGGGCAAAAACTGGAGGGAGCAATTCAATGGCAAAGGGCAGGACCCCTTAGTCCAGGGAAGAAAATGGACTTTTCAAGTCAGATGCAGAGGGGCCGGCCACCCATTCTGCTCAGTGATGAAGGACCCTTTCCAATTTCCTCCTGCAGCCTAATGACCACCAGGGCATTTCTTTTTTCTTTTTTCAAGTAAATCTATTATTCAGATTATTACAATTTTTCCCTCCATAGCTCCCCTCTGCCAGGTTCCTTCCCCACCCTCTGCCCTGACCACCAGGCATTTCTGAAGAACTACTGAAGAGCCCAGGCCATCCTTCGTCGTGGTCCAGGCTGGGCCACATTGCTAATGGCCAGTCTGAGTGGCAAGTAGGACAGGGCACACCGCCTTTCAGTCCTCTGGGCCATGTGGACAAGAAAGGGCTCTCAGCAGCTGTGTCCGAACAGACTAGCTCCCATCAAACTGCGAACCCCCACTGGCCACCGGGCCAGACGGCGGCTGCTGCACACAGGTGGGCACCTCAGCCCCGCGTTACCCAGCGCTGCACGGGGCCCGGGATTTTCCCAGAATCGTGTTAGGGGAGAGGTCGGCAGGAAAAACACCTCTTGCGGTGAGCGACCCTGGCACCCCAGCTCCACACTCCCCACCCCCTGCTGCAGTCACTCCAACAGCTCAGCGGTCTCCCCGTGACTCACACGGGTCACAATCCAGAAAGCTCCACACCCACAGAGCCGCCTGCACCTGCCCGTGTCCCCCAGGCTGATCGCCAGGTCAGGGCTTAAGGGAACTCTTCCTAGGAACCAACGCCCCACTCCTCTGTGGCAGAAAGGACAGGCAGCAGAGAACAGACCAGCAGGCTCTTTTTTCCTTTTTTTTTAATGGATGAATTTCAAAGAACCCATTCCTTTCTTAGGACAAATCACCAGGAAGGGCTGTTTTAGTGCAACAAAGAGGAAGGCTTGACCGGACACAAGCGCCCCCAGACATCTTGAGGATGAGCTCTCTTCAGCCCAGGCCGGCCACTGAGTGGGGGTCATGGACACTGGCTATGAGAAACGGCCAGAGAGAATGGCCCCTCCCTCACCCTCCCTGGGACGCTGAGGTGGAGGCCACCGTCTCCCTCCCCGTCTCCAGACTGGGAGCTAAGGCACCAGGGCAGTGGGAGCGAGAGCCCCCATCCATCCAGGATTGGCAGGACCCCCGGGCGCATCAGCAGGCCAGCAGCTCACTGCCCTCCACCTGCAGGCCTTTGCTCAGGAGAAAGGCGTCCTGCTTGGGGTCACGACCCAGGAAGAGCTTCAGCATGATGCTGGCGTCCTTGGAGCCACCCGGTTTCAAGATGCAGCTTCTGTAGTCCAAGCCCACCTGCAGGGGACAAGAGGGGCGGGGCTGGTCAAGGGTCCTCCAGCATCCCCCCTTTACCCCCTCCCGGAACCCAGGGGGCCTATGGGCGCCCACATCAACATCACGAGGGAGTGTGTGCTGACACTTTGATGGGGATCTCAGAACAAGTGTGCAAGTGTGTGTGTGTGACACTGAATGTGCACACGTGTGCATGCAGGGACCCTGTCCTTCAGGACGGGAGTGGCTGAGCCTCTGCTGTGACTACACAAAGGGCTGGAAAACTGGCTGAGCCCCTAGCCCTGGAGGGTCTCGGGGGAGCCCTGAAGAGCCAAAGGAGCCCCACTCTGCCCCGCCTGCCAGGGACGGCTGCACAGCTCGCAGGCCCGCGGCCAAGGACGGCTGCTCTTGGTCCCAGGCCGTGGGGAGCATCGCTGGAGGCCCCCCTCACCTTGCCGTTGAGGACGCCCTCCTGCTTGAAGCGTGTGTGGAACATGTCCATGGAGTACACCTCGCTCCACAGGTAGCCGTAGTACTGTGCGTCGTAGCCGCCCGCCAGGTGGCCGAAGGTCGCAGGCATGTTGGTCCCTGGAAGACACATGAGGCTACTGCTGTGCCCTGGCCTGGCCCCCGACTCCCCTGGGAAGAGGGGTTTCAGGGCCGTCACATCAGAGGTACTCGCGCCTGGAAGGGGAAACTGCCCGGACACTTCCAGAAAGCAGGGCCAGGTGACTTGGCCAGAGGGCTCACCTGCAAGCTGCACCGCCCAGGGTTCAATGCTGGGAGACCCTGGGATAAGTCAAGGCTCGCCCACACGACAGAGAACATGTGTCAATTAAAACACTTCTGAAGGGTTTTTAAATGCTCAAGAAACAGTAAGCCAATGCAACGCTATCTACATTAAATCTCAATTACCTTCATGTATGTTTACTGAGTGCATATGTACAAGGACACACAGGCACATGGAAGATACACTTCAAAACCTTGTCTACTGCCCTAACTGGTTTGGCTCAGTGGATAGAGCATTGGAACCTGGAAGAGTCCCAGGTTCGATTCCGATTAAGGGCATGTACCTTGGTTGCGGGCACATCCCCAGTGGGGGGTATGCAGGAGGCAGCTGGTCGATGTTTCTAACTCTCTATTCCTCTCCCTTCCTCTCTGTAAAAAATCAATAAAATATATTTTAAAAAACCAATAAACTTTGTCTACTGTCATCCCCAGGGTATGAGATCACAAGTACTTTCTGCACCTCCCGGGCTTTTCACAAAGCCATGTGTGGGGAGCACAGGAAGGGGCTGTGGAGGTGGAGGGGACACATGACCAGTGAGGAAGGATGGAGTCACCCACACCAACCCCATCAGGCTCCACACTGGAGCCAAGGACCCAGGAACGCAGGCAGAAGGGAGGCCACAGGCCGCCTGCTTCACTGGGGTCAGTGGACCTATAAGCTGTCCCAACGCCCTTCACGCAGCACCGGGTCTTTCCTGACCCGGAGGGCAGAGACCCCCCTAACCTCCAAGGGGGGGCCAGGCCCACGGGGAGTGTGTGCTGACACTCTGATGGGGATTTCAGAACAGGTGTGTGCGCAAGTGTGTGTGTAAGACTGAATGTGCACACAAGTGCGCATGCAGGAACCCTGTCCTTCAGCTACCTGGCGTGGCCGGGACCCCAAGGATCTCCTGGCAGAGGCGGGAATACTCGTCGGCAGGCTCGGCGGCCTTCTGTGTGTGCAGGGCCTGGTCCACCTTGGCCAGGACGATCTGGCGCAGGTTGAAGAGACCTGGTCGGGAGGAAGGAGACGGGGGGCTGGCACCGTGCTCTGCCCGGCCCTGCAGTCGGGGCCTCAGCGGCGGGCGCGGCAGGACACACCTGTGTTGGCCTGCCGGGACTTGATGAGCTTCTCCAGCAGCTCCTGGGGGATGGCGCTGCCCGTCCGGTAATGCTGCGACATCCGGAGCAGCGGCTCCTTCTCCCACACCCAGTTCTCCAGCATCTGCGAAGGCGCCTCCACGAAGTCTCGCTCCACGTGCGTCCCGCTGAACATGGCAAACTCCGCCTGCGGGACGAGGCAGAGCTAGAATGCCGAACCCTGCCGGGCCGCTCCCATCCACCCGGGTCACCCGGCACACAGGTACACGGCACACGTGGATGGGGGGGTAACATTCCAGGCGGGGCCTTTCCTCCCCACACCGTGAGGCGTGGCCGAGGATGGGGACTCCGAGTCCCCCGGGCAGCGGCTGGCTGGCCGGCCCGTCTCAGCCAGGGACACAGGGAGGCAGAGAGCACCATGTTCCCTGCTGGCCACCCAGCTTCCCTCCCACCCACGAAGCCAACACTCTCAACAAGCCTGTACCCCAAAAGGCCAAAGCCTGGGAACGGTGAGATCTGATGATAGATGATGTTGGAAGATACACTGTATTTTTGTCCACTTTTGAGTGTCTGAAATTTTTCCTGAAAAATAGCACTTGGTCCAGTGCAGCCAAAACCTGGGTCTGGCAGCTAATCAGCCAAACAAGCTGCTGAGAGATTTAACCAGTTTAAGCGCCACAATATTCTGAATTTAGTTAAAAAAGGCCCGCTGCTTGCGTCTATAGACACTTATAGCAGCTAACTGGTTAAGGAGTGCTATCCTGGCCCTCGGTGAGGCAGGGAACCTGGGAGAGGAGGACACACGGTCACCTTCATAGTGGTCCACTCACACACGGAGTGTTACTCCGCCATGAAAAGGAGTGAGGCACCAACACTCACTACAGCATAGGTGGACCTTGAATACATAACGCTCGATGAGAGAACCAGACACAAAAGGCCCACAAGAGTCCATCAATGTGACATGTCCCGAACAGGCACATCCAGAGAGAGAGAACGGATTGATGGTTGCCAGGGGCTGGGGAGGGCGTGGACAGAGTGGGGAGTGACAGCAATGTAGGAGGATCTTTTGGGAGTGATGGGATATTATAGAACTGGACAGTGGTGACAGCTGCACAGCTCAGTGAACTGACTAAAAATCCCCGAGCACCCAGTTCCCACACACTCCCATTTAGCCCCTAAGCACACTTTTGCTATCAGGAGAAAGGCCTGACTGTGTGAGAGGGGCCAGAAGGAAAATGCCATGTGCATAGCTGGGTCCAGTGGCCTGACACCAGGCTGGGGCCCCAGAACACCCGGGTGAGTCCTGTCTCGGCCACTGAGGGCCTCTACGGGGAAGTTGCTTCAACTTCCAAGGCTACATGTCTGCCCCTTGCCCTCCTCACTGGGCTCGGTGCGTGTGCACTGATTCCAGAGCCGCCTCTCACTGGGCTCAGTGCATGTACACTGCATCCAGAGCCGCCTCTCACTGGCTCAGTGCATGTGCATTGATTCCAGAGCCGGCTCTGTGTCTGGGTCCTGCAGCATGTGCTCTGGCTATCACTGCTGGTTTTCACAGGATCTTGCAATGTTCCTTAATGTGAGCTAGCAGGTGATAAGGCTAGCATGAACACTACACTAAGCATGTTACATATGTATAGAATCTTCACTAACCTTACAGTTCTCTGAGAGCAATTATGGGCTGACTGTGTCTCTCCAAAATTTATACACTGGAATCCTGATCTTCAAGACATCAGAACATGATTATGCTTAGAGATGGAATCTTGGAGAGGTGATTAAATGAGGTCACTAGGATAGGCCCTAATCCAATATGACCACTGTCTTATAAGATCAGGACACAGACACATTCAGAGGGACCAGCATGTGAGGACATGTGGAAAAGCTGGCACCTACACACCCAGGAGAGAGCTCACCAACCCTGCCCACAGTGACCTCGGACTTCCAGCCTCTGCACCAGGACATCAGACATTTCTGCCGTTTGAGCAGCTCATGTGGCTTTGTGATGGAAATGAATACGACAGGGTGTGTTATCCGTGGTAAAGCCCCATAAAGACTCCAACACAGAGAAAACTGCCTCACCACCCCTGCCCTTCTTCCCTGCCAGCCCCTGGCCCCACACCCACCTGAGAGCAGAGCTGGTGCATCACATGCCCAAACTCATGGAAGTAGGTCTCCACCTCATCATGCTGCAGCAAGGAGGGGGCGTCCGGGGTGGGCTTGGTGAAGTTGGCCACCATGGCCGCGATGGCGATCTGGCGGCTCCCGTCCTGGCGCAGACAGCCGGGCTGCAGGCCGAAGCAGGCTGCGTGCCCATACTTGCCTTCCCTGGGGATCACGAGGGGAGGGAGAGGGCAGGGTCAGGCCTGGCTGGGGGTTTGCTCTGCCTGCTTCCTGGCCCAGTGGGGTAGTAACCCCAGACTGGTCCCCAGTTCTGCCACTCCCTGACCCTGCATCCCTCCATCAGCCCCCTGCCAGCTGAGGCTCACAGACACACTGCAGGAATCTCAGCAGAGGGGGTGCACCCCCCCCCCCAACGTAAGAACGCTCCCGGCCCCCGCCCCCCTGCCCCAGCTCCCACGCACCGGGGGTAGAGGTCCAGGTAGAACTTCCCGATGACCGTTCCCGAGGCCGTGTCCCTCACTGAGTACAGCTTCACGTCTTCGTGCCACACAGCGGCGTGCTCCTCCAGGTCAAAGGTCAGCCCCAGCAACTCCTGGTAGATGCCCAGCAGCCCCTTGGTGACCACCTGCATGGGGAAGTACTCCTTGAGCAGGTTCTGGTCCACGTTGTAGCACGTCTCCTCCACCTGGTTCATGTAGTAGCGCATGTCCCAGGCATTGATCCGCCCATCGAAGTCCAGGCCCCGCTTCTCACACTCGGCCTTCTTCAGCTCCAGGATCACCGCCCGCTCCTGCTCCCCGAGGGGCTTCAGCTTCTGGGCCAACTCGTCTGGGGGTACAGAGGAGAAAGGCAAGGCTACCTCCCTGCAGCGGGCACACCAGGGCTGCCATGCTCACCCCCACCACGGCCAGCTCCCCACTGGCTGGCCTTGGCTTTCTCCTGCTGTCCGGGCCCTGGCACCCCACATAGGAAGGATGGGCCTGAGACAGAAGCCTGACTGAGGCCAGCACCCTGTCAGCCCCAGGAGGGCAGGGATCTCGCTTTCACGGGGGAAACAACAGCCACACACCCGGAGGGCAGAGCAGGGCCAGCTGTAGGCTCGCCTCACAGCCCCCATGCTCAGCCGTGAGATGAGGACCCGAGGTCAGATACAGGGGCCAGGGGAGTCGGCGGGATGCCCACCGCAGGGTGGGCAGGAGGGGATCTCGGAAGCACCATTTCCTCAGTCGAGAACAGCACCCGGGAGGCAGGGAAGGCGGTTACCTAGGAAGGTGGCCACCGTCTGGCTGGTCTTGGCCATGTTCATCTCCAGGACGTAGTCGGCGTGCGTGCCGAAGCCCAGCAGGCTGGACTTCTGGGCCCGCAGGGTCACCAGCTCCCTGAGGATGGCGCAGTTCTCCTGGAACCGACAGGTGAGCGGGCCTGTGGGTGCCACTCCTGCCTGTGGGGGTCCCAGGCCGGCACCCTGCCTCCCTGACGGGTCCCAGCCACTGTGGGGCTTCTCGGGCCCCGGCTGGCTCCGCTCCGCACTGGCGTTCCTGGCTCTCTGCCTACTCGTTTCTGTCCCGGCACACGAGCTATCGGCCCTCGCTCCTTTCGGAAACACGAAGGGTGTGAACCATGAAGGGCTCTGAAGCTGAGGGGAAAGCAATGTGGAGCCGGGATGGCCTCCAGGAGGCACTGTGCCCCCCACCAAGGGCCTGGCCCAGGGCTCAAGGTGGCACCACATCTCTACGGGCACCGCGGGGCAACCAACCAGCTGACCCAGCTCATGGGCCAACGCAAAATGAAACCCGTCTGATTCACTTGCAAGGAGAGACAGAAGTCCGTTCAGGACAGAATCCTCCCACTGGCACGGCTGGTACATAGGAAAGTAAATGACTGGGAAGTTGAGTGGAGAGCTTCCAGTCACATGAGGGGACTCGAGGCTGGTGGCCAGCAGTGTCAGTCAGCATGCCATGTCCCCGGGACCTGGAACTCAGCCTATGCCTCCCCCCAACCCCGCCCGCTCTGCCTCTCAGTCCAGTCTGGGGGCCAGGATGGGAATGAAGACCAGGCGGTGCTAACCCCTATCCAGTCCTGAGCTGGCAACGCTCTAAATTAGGCGGGAACATGGGGGACAGCTGAAGAAAAGAGGGTGTGGGTGAGAGAAGCCAGGTATCCATGTGGGATTTATGTGGCAGCAGATGCCTGGCAGAAGCAGGATGAGCTCGGGATGGACGCTCTAGCCCCTGCTCTGAGCAGACAGAACAGGCCCGGCCTCCCAGGTCCAGACACATCGGTTCTGAGGACAGAGCCCCGAGGCGGATCCCCACGGCCAGGCCTTGGCGCTGCCTTCTCACCTCCTTGCAGCGACAATTGAAGGCTTCCTCCACCTTCCTTCTGGTCTCGGGGACGTGGCATTTCTTCAGGAGAGGAAAATAGTGAGGGTACTTGAGGGTGACTTTGAACTTCCCATCCTCAGTCTTTTCCAGAGAGTTCAGGAAGTCTTCAGGGAGCCCTCCTGTGAACCAAGTTGGGGTTTTTTAAAGACCCATGTAGGCATGGTGGGAGGGCTGAGCGAGGAATGGGACCAGCAGCCCTGACTATGCCCTCGCTAGGCAGCACCACCCATTCCCAGTGGCCTACACCGCTGACAGCCCCGCCTGGCCTGTCCTTCCATGTCAGAGAACTGGGTGCCATGCCTTTGGCTGGGCACCTTCAGGGTTCCCGCCTCACGGGAAAGGACGGAATGAGCCTAGAACATCTTGGATCAAAAAGATGCTCATGCCCAGCTGGTGTAGCTCAGTGGTTGAGCCAGGAGGTCAGGGCACCTGCTCAGGTTTGGGGCTTGATCTCTAGTGTGGGGTGTGCAGGAGGCAATCAATCAGTGATTCTCTCTCATCACTGATGTTTCTCTCTATCTCTCTTCCTTCCTCTCTGTCTAAAAAAAATCAATAAAACATATTAATTAAAAAAAAAAAAGTGCTCAAAGACTAATAGGGATATGGCATGCTTGAACTGGCCCCTTAAGGTCATACTAGGACAATCTTAGCATCAACATAAATAATGACAGCAGTAGACCATAACCCATTGAATAAAATAGGACCTATAGTTCACACTGATATAGATAAATCAATCAATAAATGGGGGTAAGGGAAAGCTCTGACTTATGAGAAAATCAACTAACAAATGTACTAAGATTGATGGAGTTAGAAAGTCACCCATAGGTGCTACAACCAGTGAGTGGAAGTGTGATGGGCAGTGGTCTCAAAGCTCCTCTTGAGAAATGATTGATCGTGAAGGGAAAGCTGGTACTTTCACCATGGCAACATCTGGCAGATAACCACCTAATCGAGTAATTAAGATTCCTGGGCAGGGAGAGAGCAGTGGGGGGAGAGAAGAGATACGTCGTCTGTATTTTGGTAAAATAACACCAAGTATCCCTTTTGCAAACAGAAAAAAATAAACAAGTGCCACAATCTTGCTCAGCCAGACCTGCAGTCAGGGACAGACTCTGCCAAGCTGGCCAGACGTGTCCCGGCCACTGCCACCGGCTCCACCCCGCGAGACACGGGCTCTGGGGCCAGGCAGGGCGAACAGTCATCTGCTGGGGACTCAAGCTGCCCACACAGGAGGCCAGAGGCCAGTCTGACTCAGCGAGGCCCTCCAGCTGGACAAACAGACAGCAAGGCAGTCCTGTCAACAGGGAGGTTGAATAGATCTGTTCCTGAATTTGAGACCCAGGATTACCCTTTGTCCAGGAAACACTTTCCTAAATGCCAGGGAGCCACATAGTGGGACTTATTGTGTGGGACACAGTGGGGCCTGAATGAGGATGAGGGGAGGCAGAGCGCAGTGGTGATCAGTCTGTGCGTCCGCGTTCCGGGAATGCGTGCCCACGGGTCTCTGTGTAGGGCAGCCGCCCTCAGTGAGGACTCTGCACCCTGGCCACCTCCTTACATAACGTGACGCCACACTGCACGGCGCACAATGGGTTAGGGGACGCAGCCTCGTCAGAGGCTCTCACAGGTGGCAGCACCGCCACTGGCCTGGTTTTCAAAACTGCCCATGTTGGGAAAGATGGGGGGAGCTGTAAAAAGCCGAGGAATGTTCGACAGGAAAGGAGCCTGACAGGACCCAAAGCTCAGTGGATCCCGGACAGGAGAGAGCTCTCTGCAGAGAGCTGACGAGGGAATCTATCTGCGCTCTGTTCTATGCTGTTTCCCGGGTGTGACATGTGCACCGATGACGCAGAACACCCTCCTCCTGCTGAAGGCCACGAGGCCGCCGAGCAGCTCTCAGAGGCTCGGGAATGACACACGCACGAGCATCAGCAGCGGAGGGGAGGACCGGGAGGTGCTCAGGGCTTTCCATGGCACCGTTCTAATGATCCCAGAGGCGGGACACTTTTCAAAATAAAATATCCAGGAAAAGGGAAGTGGGGAAAAGAGTAAAAACTAGAAAGAACACCTAAGCCCCAAGCCTTCAACATTCCCACGTACAGCCAGGCTTGGGAACCACGGATTCAGTCTGCCCCCTTCATTTTGTAAGATTTAGAAAAATAAACACAAAGGGCTGGGTGTGGACCTCAGGTGGATGTCCCAGCAGACTCAGTGCTCCCACACCTCGCCAGGCTCCTCCTGCTGCTGCAGGACATCTGCCATCAGGGCCGGGAGCTCCACAGACGGAACTCGGCCCTCCCTAGGAAGGACCGAGTGCTCCGAGGGAGAAAACCCCCTTGCCCGGGGTGGCAGGACAAAGCTCAGCCTCCGGGAGGGGAGGAGGCGGTGATCCCGGAGGGTCTCCCCGAGACCGTGCCCCTGGGGCTGCCTGTGGACACAGCTGCCTTCCCCACACACCCGGCCCTCCACGTACCCAGCTCCTCTCGTGTGAAGGGCAGGAAGGTCGTGTCCTCGTTCAGGTTCTTATTGAAGTCAATGCACAGGAGGCTCAGCTTCTTCTTGATGCCTTTGATTTTCTGAAAGAGAGGAAGAACCATGAGTGGGAAGCACTGCTGCTAAGATACCCTCAGGGTTGGGGCTCTCACCGGCAGGACAGGCAGACAAGGTCAGACAAACGGGAGGGGTTTAGCACAAGCACCTGTCCGCCACGCTGAGCAGCCTCAGGATGCGGGGATTCTTTCTGGGTCCCCAGCCAAGAGCATTCTGGACCCTCCTACTGAGGAATTATCCCCAGAGTCCTCAGCCTAAGCTTTAGGACATCCTAATAGAGTTCAATGTTTGTCCCTTCAGGGTCCATCTGGTTTTTAGAAACAGTTAAAAGTTGGCCCCTCGGGGTGAGCGAGTGACATGGGGCACAAAGGAGGCGCCTGGGCAGAGTGTGAGTCCGCTGGAAACCCCAGGGCTGCCTGGCATGAGGAGAGAAGAGGCAACGAGGGTGAAGGCAGACGCCGCCCTCATCAACCACAGGCCTGGGAGCAGCCTCAGCGCCCGCGGGAAAGCAGGGGATGCCCCTCTGTGATGCTGTGACCCAATAGGAAATGTGCGTCTGGACCTGGCTCTGTTTCTGACACGTGGCTCCTAAAACCCTTGGAATCTGCTACGTGAAAGAGGCCCAGGGGCACAAAATGACAGGAGTTTATGCTAACAAGTCCACTTCCAAAAAGCCCCAGAATCACAGGATGGGTCAAATTCTCAGTCTCATCCCATTCCTCACCTCCTGGGAGGGGAGAGGAGCTGGAGGTTGGAGGTTGAAATGTCTCCAAGGGCCACCGGTTTAATCACTCGTGCAGATGTAAGGAAACCTCCCAAGGGATGGGGCTCAGAAAGCTCCTGGGGCTGGTGAACATGCAGATGGAGAGAGAAGTGCAGGAGGTGGGGGGTGGGGCATGGAAATTCCAAGCTCCTCTTTGCATTTCTTCCATCTGCTGTGGCCGAGTCATAACCTTTTACACTAAATCAGGGATCCTGTGAGCAACGGGTCCTCTGAGTCCTGCCAGACACTTTAGGAAGCTGACCTAATCTAAGGAAGGGTCATGGGAACCTCCAATTTCTTTTTCTTTTTTTATATTTTATTGACTTTTTACTGAGAGGAAGGGAGAGAGATAGAGAGCTAGAAATGTTGATGAGAGAGAAACATCGACGAGCTGCCTCTTGCACACCCCCTACCAGGGATGCGCCCGCAACCAAGGTACATGCCCTTGGCTGGAATCGAACCCGGGACCTTTCGGTCCGCAGACCGACGCTCTACCACTGAGCCAAGCCGGTTTCGGCGGAACCTCCGGTTTCTATCACAGGTCTGAAGTAGGGGCAGTCATGTGGGGCTGGCCCTGACCCCGCGGAACCTGATGCCTTTTCTGGTAAACAGTGTCAGAACCGAGTCAGAGTGTAGGACAGCCGGCCGGTGTCAGGAAGTTCCTTCCTGTGGGGTCCTCACACACCTACCATCGGCAGGGACACTGTGCTGAGGGTGGAGGAGACACGGGAACAATGAGCTTTTCCTTCATACCATCGCAGCCAATTTCAGACAACTGAATGAGGCGAGATGCCGGGGGGTGCCGTTCAGCCTGCACTCTCTCCTTCGCTGGGGGGGGAAGCCCCCCCAGACCCTGGAGGGCTGAGAGCAGGGCAGGTGACGAGAGAGAGCTGCTCTAGACAGACCTCCCACCGAGTGCAGGCAGCATTAGGCCGGAGGACGGGCCCTCAGTGCGGGAAGGCGTGCCCCTCCCCCGACAGCTGGCGCTCACTTCCTGAGTTTCCTCTGGCAGGTGGAGCCCATTCCTTCGGCCAAGCTTGATCAGTCGCTCCAGGTACCGCACGGCCTCTGGCCTCAGGGAGTCCTTCTGGACTTTTTCCTAGAATAAGAAATCAAAGTTCTATTTTCGGTGAAAAATCCCGACCGTGCCAAAGGCTGAGAGGCAGCTCACTCAGATGTTGGTGAGGTTAGGTAAAATAGTGCAGCCACTCTGGAAGACAGTCCGGTGGTTTCTTAAAGAGAGAAATGTACAATGACCCTATGACTCAGCACCTGCCCTCCTGGGCATTTATCCCAGAGAATGAAGCCGTAAGGCCACACAGAACCTGCTCCCGGATGCTTGCTCCCTGGCATGGGCACAGAGTGAGACCAGCCCAGAGGGCATGCAACAAGTGAATGCTTCCAGAGGAATAGTGAGCGGGCAATACCCTGCTTCTGAGGTTGTCTTGGGTCCCACAAAATGATACATTGGGGAAAATCAGACAAAGTGGAGATGAGGGCTTTTCGAATCATTTCTCACAACTGCATGTGAACCTGTAATTGTCTCAATAAGAATTTCAATAAGAAAAAAAACAGCCGGGACCAGTTTGGCTCAGTGGATAGAGCGTCGGCCTGTGGACTGAAAGATCCCGGGTTTGATTCCGGGCAGGGGTATGTGCCTTGGTTGCGGGCACATCCCCAGTGGGGGGTGTGCAGGGGGCGGCTGATTGATGATTCTGTCTCATCAATATTTCTGGCTCTCTATCCCTCTCTCTTCCTCTCTGTGAAAAATCAATAAAATATATTTTTTTAAAAAAGAAAAAAAACAATATAACTTGTGCTTCCCCAGGCCTGCGCCTGCACATGTACCAAAGCACACCAATCGTGAGGCTGACGTGTCAGCACATTTAAAGGGCATGAACGAGCCCTAGCCAGTGGATGAAAGGAACCTAGGTTCCATTCTGGTGAAGGGCACATACCTGGGTTACAGGCTCCTCCCTGGCCCAGGCCCTGGCCAGCTTGCCTGCAGGAGGCAACCAATCACTCTGTTTCTCTCACTAGACAGTTACCTCTGTCTTGCCCTCTCTCTAAAAAAAAAAAAAAAAAAAAAAGGCAATGGAAAAATATCCTTGGGTGAGGATTAAAAAACACCAAAGCACACACACAAAAACAAAAGAGAATGAATGAGCTGCGTGAAAAGCATGTGTAGTCACCTCCACCAGCCCTCCGACACCAGCAGTGAGGTCCCGCTCCTGCTGAGGAGCCCGGCTGGCAATGGAGCCCAGCCTCGTGCTGTGCCACCAGCACAGGCCCTTGAACCTGCTCACCTCACGAGGGAGATGGGACATTCTCTCTGAGTAAAACCCAACAAGGTCAGCAAAGCGCAATGACAGGAGGATGTGGGAAAGGTGGAAGGAGTCCTAGGATTTTCATACTGTCTTTTTTCCATTCCTCTCCATTTGTCTGCCATTTTTAATTTATTTTTAAAAATATAATTTCTTTATTGATTTCAGAGAGAAAGGGAGAGGGAGGAATAGAAACATCAATGATGAGAGAGAATCATTGATTGGCTGCCTCCTGCACGTCCCCCTATGGGGGATCGAGCATGCAACCCAAGCATATTCCCCTGGTCGGAATTGAACCTGGGACCCCCCAGTCCGCGCAGGCCGACAATCTATCCACTGAGCCAAACCTGCTAGGGCTGTCTGTCTTTTTTTTTTTTTTTTTTTAATATATTTTATTGATTTTGTACAGAGAGGAAGGGAGAGAGATAAGAGAATTAGAAACATCGATGAGACAGTCATCGATCAGCTGCCTCTTGCACACCCCCTACTGGGGATATGCCCACAACCAAGGTACATGCCCTTGACGGGAATCGAACCCAGGACCCTTCAGTCCCCAAGCTGACGCTCTTTCCATTCAGCCAAACTGGTTTCGACTGTCGTTTTTTTAATGATTTTTTATATTGTGGCAAAATAGACATAAAATTTACACTTTAACCACTTTCAAATGCACAATTTGGTGGCATTAAGTCCATTTACACTGCTGTGCAGTCATCCTTACCTTCCATCTCTGAAACTCTTCAGTTTTCTGTCTTTTAAAATTGGGGGAGTGCCTGGCCAGTGTGGCTCAGTGATTGAGCGTTGACCCAGGAGCCAAGAGGCTGCCAGTTTGATTCCCGATCAGGGCCCAGGCCCAGGCTGCCGGCTGGATCCCAAGTAGGAGCCGTGCAGGAGGCAGCCAAGTGATGATGTGCCCAGTGCCATGTCTTCGAAGCACCCTCACCTGCAGCCAGACGATCCTCTGGTACACGTCCTGCCTCATGCTCATCTCCACGTCAAACTCAGACAGCTTCTTGTCAGCTTCTGTGCTGGCTGTCCGGATGTCCTTGGATGGAGAAACGTGCTGGGGGAAGTCAAGGATATTCCTCTGAACTGAAACGGGGAGAGAATGGGACAACTGTGAAAAAGGGTCCTGGATGGAAACTGGCAAGTGCTGACCTCATGCCCCAGGAAGGAACTCATCCCTATTTGTTGGTTTGTTCTGTGAACGTTCCCCACACGGGGCCCTGGGACAGTGCTGTCAGCCATATCCTCAGGACCTCACAGTCCAAATAGAAACAGATCTAGCTCGTGATACTCATGTCAAGGACTGTAACAGGGAAGTATGACAAGACCAGGAGAGGCTGAAGGGATTCCATTCTAGAAAAAGCGCCAAGGCTGCTGATGGCTCTATTTTATTTTACTTTTCGTATTGATTTTAGGGGTGGGGGGAGAGGAAAGGGATGGGAGGGAAAGGGAAGGTGGAAAACGGATATCAATTTGTTGTCCCACTTATTTATGGTTGATTCTTAATAATTAATTTTTAAATTTTTATTGATTCCAGAGAGAGACATTCATTTGTTATTCCACCTATCTATGCATTCATCAGATGATTCTTGTATGTGCTCTCACCAGGGATTGAGCCCGCAACCTTGGCGTATTGGGATGACATTCTAACCTTTTGAGCTACCTGGTTAGGGCCTGATGGCTCTATTTTAAATCCACAATTTTATAATTTACAGGCCACTGGTAAATTGTCTCTCTCAATTTTATAATTTACAGATTGGGCCTAAACCAGCAGTCAGACATCCCTCTCACAATCTGGGACCACTGACTCCTAATTGCTCACCTGCCTGCCCCCAACCTGGTCACCCCTTTCCCCCCCCACCGCCCCCCTGACCTGATCACTCCTTACTGCCCCTCCTCCTGCCAGCCTGATTGCCCCCCCAACCCCCCAGCCTGGTTGCCCCTCACTGTCTCCCTCTGCTGGCCTGGTCACCTCTCACTGCCCTCCCACCCACCAGCCTGGTCCCCCTCCACTGTCCCCGCTGCGGGCCTTATTGTCCCACACAGCCTGCTGCTCAGTTGTTTGATTGCCCCTCAGTAGCCCCTCTGTCAGCCTAGTCACCCCACACAGCCTGTTCGGTGGTCCGTTTGGTTATGATGGTCGCTTACGCTTTTATTATTATAGATTCACACTTTGTTAAATAGAGAAGAAGGGAGTGGCTATAAGAGTGTAATTTTAACACAGACCACGTGATCCAGTAATTCAGTCCTTAAGTGTCCACCCATAAGAAACAAAAACACGCCCACACTGAAACCTGTGCACACCTGTGCACAGTAGCAGGATTCATAATAACCACAAAGTGGAAGCCCACTGACAGGTGAATGGATATACAAATGTGGTACGTCCACACAGGAATGTTACTCAGCTGTGAAAAGCACTGAAGCAATGACACTCACTACAACATGGGTGGACATACGTTCAGTGAGAGAAGCAGACACAAAAGGCCACACAGTGTGGAGTCCCATTATTGTGAAATGTCCAGGACAGGCAAACCCTGTAATAGAGTGGATTCCTGGTTGCCAGAGGAGAGGGATGGTGCTTCTTTTTGGTGTGACAAAAATATTCTAAAATCAGATAATGGTGATAGTTGGACAATGCTGCAAATAAACTAAAAACCACTGCTGTCAATAGGTGCATTACGTGGTATAAAAATTGTATCTCAAAAGAACGATTTAAAAAAGCACACCCTGCCCTGGCCTGTTTGATGCAGTGGACGGAGTGTCGAACTGAGGGGTCCCGGGTTTGATTCCGGTCAGAGGCACAGTCCCAGGTTGCGGGCTCGATCCCTGGTGGGGGCCGTGAAGGAGGCAGTTGACTGATGCCTCTCTCTTCCTCTCGGAAATCAATAAAAATATCAAAAACAAACAAACACACACACACACACACAACAACAAAGCACCCAGTGCACTGGGAGACCTGAATTCAATCACAGCTTGGTCACTTCCATGGTCTGGAGGCATCTCATTGCACCATGAAGACCTCTGAGGGCCGGGTGAGGACTGACCTGCTCAGCTGACTTGTATTAAACGCGGGGCCCTGGGCGGACCTGCCGCTGACTGCCCAAGAACAGTGAAAAGCACAGACCCAGCATCTGGGTTTGGGATCGGCAGACTGACATGCACTGAGTGCAACATCAAAACAGTGCAGAGGGAGGGGTCATCTGGGCAGCTGGCGTGGGGAAGGGGCTCCTGTGATCCAGAGCAGTCTGACATCCAGCAAAGCCGAGGGTGAGAAGGACTCCAGGCTAAGAGGGGAGGGATGAGCAAGTGCAAGGCCTTGTGGCCGGCAGACGGCCCCGGGAGGGAGGGAGGGCCGGCAGTGCAGGCACTGAAGGCCACATCCAGGACTTTGCCTCCAGAAGCAGCAGGAGTCAGTTTTCATTTTCCTTACAATGACTTGGGCCACTGAGTGGAGCTGGGGTGGAGTGACACCTGGTGAGTGGGAATTAGCATCCTTCAACCTTTGAGTACCCCTTGTGAGAGAGAAGGGGAGACTGAGGCCCATCTGCTCCAAGTGGGGAAGAGGAAGCAAAGGCAAGACGCAGAGCCCTCACCTCTCAACACCAGCAAAGTGGACACAGCGAGGCCTCAGGGGTGCGTGAGAATCCTGCAGCAGGGATTCTCAATGGTTCCCAAGAAAACGACTTTTGCTCTAGCTTTGGGGTCAGGGGGTTTCCTGGCTCAGGACGCTTTGCCTCGAGACTCCCCTGGATCTTCTGTCCCCGCACCGTCATCCTCTACAAAGAGGGCTCCAGGAAGCAGATGCCGTATCTATTTCACGGAGCACTCGCTCCTCCCGAAGGAAGCAGACAGACCCTAAAGAGGAGAGCGGCCAGCTGGGGGGCCGGCATCAGGTTACCCACAGCGCAGGGAGACCGTGGGGAGAAGAAAAGCAAGGGAGCCAAGTTCAGGTCTCAGGTCAGCGCTCAGAGAGAAAACAAACACCCCGTGGGACTGGAAAGGAGTGAGAAGGGCTCCGGTTTCAAGGCAGGCACCCGAGCGGGCTCTCAGAGACGGGTGCTGCTGTCCCCTCTGGGCCCTCCGATGACCTGCTTGTGAGGACGGATCACCCCAGGGGGCCAGGTGGAGCGGGGCGCTCATGGGGATGGGCCACACCTGCCGGGTGCCTTTGCCTCTGTCAGCACCTTTTGTCCATCACCGCCCCAGGGAATGGTGGCACTGCCCCAGGTGAGGGCGCGGGAGCTCCCCGCCTGGACCCTGACCTGGACTTACCTGTGTAGGTCACCTCCACGTCAGCCAGCGCCTTGAGTGTACTCTCGTAAGACACGTCTTCAAACTTCAGGGAGCCCACCTGGTCGTACACGCGCTTGGTCTGCTCCATGAGCTCCGTCGTGAGCTCTGCTATCTGCTGGGCGCTCAGGTCCCATCTCAAGTAGTTCACCACGGAGCACGGGGCTGCCTTGTCCAGGACATCTGCTGTGCAGGCTGCACGGAGGGCAAAACACCATACTAAGCATCTGCTTCCCATCCAGAAGGGTCAGACGAACCGGATTGGCGGGGGGCGGGAGGCAGAGGGGACACTAACACTAGTCCAGCACACCAGTTCACAGTGTGGGGTGAGTGAGGGGGTGGTGAATGAGGGACAGGAAAGGACCTGTGTCTCTCTGCAGATGAGCAAGGCCCGCCTCGTGAAGATGCACAGGTTGAACAATCCTTTAGAGAAGCTGATTCTGCTCCCCAGGGCACAGTGATGCCTGGGGACATCTGAGGCCGTCAGGACCAGGGGTAATGCCACTGCATCGAGGAGGTAGGGGCCAGGGATGCTGCTCAACACCCCACAGTGCACAGGACGGCTCCCCACAGAGAGTGACCCGACCCCCAAATGTCAACAGCGGTGAGGTGGGCATTTGGTAGTATACCTGCCTTTCACTCAGAGAATACTTGGATTCCAGGGGGCGACTCCAGGCCTCCCTGGATGAAATATGTGACATGTGCATTACCTTTCTAAAACAGGAGGAAACCCTGATTCCTGAAACATCCCCGGCTCTGAGAGCTTTTAGGTAAGAGACTGTGGTCTGTACTAACAGCAGTCACTCGACAACTTCTGTGTAAGGTTCAGAGTGTAAGATGCTTTGTATGCTTCCCCTCCCTGAATTCTCAGACAGTGCTGCACTCGGCATTCCATTTGCCTGCTTTATGGGTGGGAATCCTGAGACTGGGAGAGTTCAAATCTCCGGCCACAATGATGCCATAGGCAACAAGTGCTGGAGGTGGGGTTCACGCCCACGGTCTGATGGCGCCCCCACACTGTGACCTGGTGCACTACACTCACCTGACCTTTGTACATCTGTACATCTCTGGGTGTCAGGTCTCCCTGTCCCCTCTCCCCTACTCCACCCTGCACACAGGATTCAAGTTCAAACCTTTCATCAAAGTCTATACCCACTTGATTTTATACAGCCCATGAGCTAAAGGTGATTTCACGTGGGAGGCGGTATGTGGCAGCCGAGGCTAACCCATGGGCGCCCTTATCTCGCAGTTTGCTGACCCCTGGTCTAGACTGTCCAGATTCTATGGAGTCCTGTATGGCAGGTTTGGCCAGCTGGTTTTACCAGCCACACTGGCTTCCTTCAGTCTCCAGGGCCTTCCTACAGGCTGACCTGAGCCCTCACCCTGCCAGTCTCCCCTTCCACATTCCGTCCTCAGAAAGACCTTGTGGATCTGGAATGGCCACACCTGACCCAAATTACTTGTTGAGTTCATGGGTCGAGTGGGTGTGGAATGCACCACAAACAAGAAGGGGTTGCTCCAGGAAACACCAGCGATGCCTCCTTTCCCCACTTCTGGCCAGCCAGGAGCTGAGCAGGGCCAAAGTGTCCTGACTCCCCATCTTGTGAACACTGGGGACCTTTGCAAGGCGCTGCTGGCTCAAACCTGTGTTTGGTGTCTTTGGGGTAGTTTTTTTGAACAGCACTGTCAACATTGAGGGCTGGGACCTGGCCGGTTTGGCTCAGTGTATAGAGCGTCAGCCTGCGGACTCATGGGTCCCAGGTTCGATTCTGGTAGGGGGACACATGCCTGAGTTGTGGGCTCTGTCCCCAGTGGGGGGCATGCAGGAGATGGCCAATCGGTGGTTCCCTTTCATCATTGGTGTTTCTATCTCTCTCTTCCTCTCCCTTCCTCTCTAAAATCAATAAAAAATATATTTTAAAAAAACAGCATTGGGGGCTGGATCATTCTATGGGATGGGGCCATTTCGGGGTGCTGAGCAGCATCCCTGGCTCCTCACCCACTCTCTGCCAGGAGCATTCCCAGTCATGACAACCACAGATGACCCTGGGGATGGCCCAGTGTCCCTGGGGATGGTACAACCATCCTAGCTGAGGACCAATGATATCTACTGAGAGGGAAGAAGGAAAGCTTTTAAGTCAGCACAGGCCAGATTTTACTGGCTAAACGACTGCTGCGGACTTCGTAAAAGTCTTTCAGTTTGCGGAGCAGAAAGTGCCAAAAAGGGATTGAAGATCTGTATTAAATTTGGTGGCAAAGAAGGGCTCCAGAAGCTCAGGAAAGCTAGGAGACCCACATGAGCTGAGAGGTCAGGAAAGCCTCCTGAAGGAGCTAGAATTTGAAAAATGTGAGCAGGCACATTCATTCCACAAATGTTTACTGATTACCACCTTGGTGCCTGGTCCCCAAGCTAACAATCTTCCGGGGAACAAGGCGGACAACATTCTCTGCCTTCTTGAGTCCTCCAGAACCCCTGGCTGCAATTATTATGAATGCAATTATCATCATCACCATCGCAATGAGCTGGAGAAAGAACTGGGAAGGACAGGGGGGGGGGGGCAAAGGGGGGGGGGGCAAAGGAACATTCCAGGAGGCTACACACAACAACCTGGACGATTTCCTAAAATGCCGTACACAGGTCATCATGCGGCTCCCAATGGAAACCTGTCCACAGCGCCCATCTGCCTTTAAACTAAAAGCTGTAGTCCAGCCCAAATGACCTATTACTCTCCAGATGTGTTGTTACCCGTGTTCCTGCCTCCAGGCTTTTGCCCTCAGGGTTACAGCCAAGTGGGACACGCTTCCGCCAAAGGTCTTGGCAGAGAGCGGCTTCTCCCCATCCAGGCCAAGCCGAAATGCCACCCCCTCCCAGAAGTCCTCATGGACTGCCCTCTCTAAAAAAAAAAAAAAAAAAAAAAAAAAAAAAAAAAAAAAAAAAAAAAAAAGCGCCACCATTCATGATGTTTCTAACTCTGTCCCTCTCCCTTTATCTCTGTAAAAACAAACAAACAAAACAATAAAATACATTTTAAAAAGCGCCACCAGCCCCTGCACTCCAAAGCCCTGGCTTGCTTCTTTGCTTGCTGAACATCTCAGTCTCCGGCTCTGGAACTCCGTCTAGAAATCATGGTCTCTCCCAGCGCCCAACCCCGGGCCCGACCCGTGCTTTGCAGAAGCCACGTGAAGTTGGCTGCATGAGGGAAGCGCGGGGAACGCCGGTTCATTCATCCGCCAGGGCGGGCGTGCGGTCCCGGGCTCGCCGCCGCCGCGCCGGGGCCCGGTCGCCGCGGGTCAGCGGGCGCCGCTCTGGGGCCTAAGTCCCGGCGCCCACACGCACGGAGGGCGCAGGGGGCTCCCGACCCCGCGGGCGGGCCGCGCGGGGCGGCGGCCAGTACCTGCGGGGGGCTTCATGGCGGGCGGTGAGCGCCGGGGTCCTCTCCCTCCTCCACCGGGTCTGCGTCGGTCTCGGTCTCGGCCTCGGCCGCGTGCGCCCGGCGCCTCCGTCCGCTCCGCTCCGGGGACGCGGTGGCGAGTGAGGCACCCACCGCCCTGGACGCCGGGAGGAGGCACTGCGCAGGCGCGGCCGCGGCTCTCTCCGCCCCCCGCCCGCCCGCCCGCGCCCCGCGGGGGAGACGGACGAGAGGGAGCCACAGGCAGAGGCGGGGACGCGTGGCTGGCCCCTCGGAGCCGCTGAACGCTCTCTGCTGGTACTTTGCCTGGGCTTCTAGTCCCCGAATTAATTAGTGCCTGCATCCTTTCGGCCTGAAAGAGAAAAGAAAAGAAGGAAGAGAAACCCAAGCAATGAAGGATCACCAAGGAAGCCTCCATAAACGGATCCAAACTTCAAACTATAGGTATTTTGGTCCAGTGCAGTCTGACCTGTATCTAGTGTTGTGGGTTAAAACAACAACAACAACAAAATTGAAGTGTTTAAGGCCTCCAGAAAGAAAAATTTATTAGAATTAACCTTGCAAAAAAAAAAGGGGGGGGGGGAGAGAAAAAGAAAACTTCCTTTTATTTCTGCAGAAGAATTAAAATAATCCAGGGTGATAAAAGTTCGTACGTTTTGCCGGGACAGGTTTGGCTCAGTGGATAGAGTGTCGGCCTGCGGACTGAAAGGTCCCGGGTTCGATTCCGGGCAAGGGCATGTACCTTGGTCATGTACCTTGGCTGCGGGTACATCCCCAGTAGGGGGTGTGCAAGAGGCAGCTGATCGATGATTCTCTCTGATCGATGTTTCTAACTTTCTATCCCTCTCTCTTAATCTCTGTGAAAAATCAATAAAATATTTTTTTAAATATATATATATTTTATTGATTTTTACAGAGAGGGAGAGAGAAGGATAGAGAGTTAGAAACATCAATGAGAGAGAAACATCGACCAGCTGCCTCTTGCACGCCCCCTATTGGGGATGTGCCCAAAATCAAGGTACATGCCCTGGACCGGAATCGAACCCGGGACCTTTCAGACCGCAGGCCGAAGCTCTATCCACTGAGCCAAACCGGTTTCGGCAATAAAATATTTTTAAAAATCAATAAAAATATCAAAAAGAAAGAAGTTCATACGTCTTAAATAGGATAAAAATGAATTGGGAGAATGCTTCTGGCAACTTTAGATACTAGTGGTGGGCAGTTGTGAGTCATCCTAGGGAATTTCTCATCACTCATTCTCTATTAAGTGCGCCGAATTTAATTCTACTTGTCTTCATTTCCACTGTTCCCTGTACCTGAAGTGTTTTTCCTCACCCTCCAAAATCCACATTTTAAAAGAAAGGCCCTCCCTAACCACCCTGGCCAACTTATCTCCCCAATCACAACACCCCATTTTTCTTCATATCGCTTGCCATTAAGTGAAATTCATTGATTTATGTACTAGTTTACTATTCTATAATATGTGGTAAGCAGTTAGACCAGAGTAGAGCAAGGTCAAAGGGCAGATACAGCAGGTCACCAGGGTGGAAAGCCCAGACCACCAATTGTAGGGTGGGACCTCGCCCCACAGGGTGATTTTCTCCTCTAGCCTAGCAGTGGTCAAGCAGTTTGGACCCCCTGACCTTCCCTCCCTAGAGATAATATCTATGCCTCAGTTGTATTTCAGCTCCAGGACCAGGTAAACAACAAAACCAGGCTTGGCTGACCTCAGGACCAGCAGCACTGAATGACCGCCTGCCAATGATCAGTGGAGAGCACAAACCTATAGGACACACCTGAAAAAACTGTTGAATATTCTATTATCTTCCCCTGGGACCTCCCCTAAACTCTCCAACCTTAAACTCTTAGGATGGGGGACCCAGTGCACTCTCCCTCCAGGGGAGCACACCCTAACCTTTCCCTTTTCCCTCCCCTTCCCTGCCCCAGGTACCTTACCTTTAGCTTTCTCACTCCTAAGTTCCAAGGGCCTTTTCTTTACTTCTATAACTTGTTTCCGTAAGCCCATTTCTTCTGGAAATTATTTCCTCTATCGCTGTGATTTACCAAATAAAAGTGTTCTCTTAAAGTTTGGGAGTTTGGCTCTGAATTTTTTGCTAGCCCAAACCAAAGTACCAATGTTGTTGAACTCAGGTTTGGTCTGACCCCATGGGTCAGATACCTGATGCCATTCCCAGCGCCTACAACACGTCCACCCTGATACTAAATAATGAGAGTAAACACTTTGCTGGTCTTTACAGTTAGCTTGCCATAAGTATTTGTTGACTACTAGGCACCTGCTGTGAACAACTTCTTTATTCCTTTATGTCTTATGGATTGAATGAACGAAAGACTGCATTTGTGGGTGAGTGGGTGAATGGGTAGGTGAATAAATGAGCAAAGATACTGGGTAACAGCGGCTCGCATTCACTGAGCGCCGACGATGGTTCTGGGCACCAGAGACCCAAACACGGCTGCACCACGTGGCCCGCCCGGGAGCACGTGACAGGCTCCACCTACTTCCGGGAGTCCTCCACGGTCCCGCCAAGCACCGCTCCACAATCCTGATTTCCGGTCTCCGTTCAGTCGCAGAGGTCAGTTGCCCTTAACGACCACCTCGTTCCCGCCTCTAAATTGCGTCACTTCCCCCACTCCTGCTGGGACAATCGGCGCGCCTGCGCAGCACGAACTCCAACGCGAGCCTGTTCCTTCCGCGCAGGCGTCCCGGCTGGGGGGCGGGGCCGGGGGCGCCGCGGTGCGCAGGCGCAGCCGTCGGTGGGTCGGGGTTCAGCAGCCCGAGAGGTGAGTTGGGGGTTTGGCGCTTTGGTTCCGCGGTTTGGGGCTTCCCGAGCTACGGGGCCTGTAAGGGAAGGTCGGCCTGGGGCTGGGGTCCCTGCGCGGCCCGCGGGGTGCTGTGTGTGCGCGGTGCAGAGGGGAAACTGAGGCCGGGCGTCGTCGAATTGTCCTTCACCAGCCCCGGCTTCCCTCCCCTGGACCCCAGGCCTGGGGAATGCTGGTTCGCAGACCCGTGGGTGGAAAGCGGGGAGGAAAAGCGTCCCGCGTGTAGCGATCGCTCGCTGGGTGACCGCCGCTGTACGGAGAAACGGTCCTTTTAAATCCGGCCCCTGTTCCTGGGCTCAGGTCGGGGCTCCTGTCCCAGTGCCGCTGCTCTCCAAGTGGATGTCATTGGCCAGCCTTTTGACTTCTCGCCCTCAGTTTTCCCCTCTGAAAAACGGGCATTGTCACAGCCCCGGCTTCGAGGGGGAGGGATTTGGGGAGGGTTGAAGCCACATGGCCCAGTGGAAAGTGAGAGCTCAAATGGGTTAGCAGTTAGTCTTACCTCACACTTAGCGTCTTCTGCATATTGTGCTGGAAGCGGTCGAAATCTGGACTTGAGGACCCGCTGCACACCTCTCCCTGGCTGTGTAAGTTCAGAGAAGTGGCTTCCCCTCTTTGAGCAGCACATTTCTTACAGGGGCTGTGGAAGTATATGCCTCTAGCAGTGGTAGGCAAACTGCGGCTCTTCGGCCCCTTGAGTTTTTAGCAAAAGCCAAATTAGGAGCACCCTAATTAAGGTAATAACAGTGTACCTACCTATATAGTTTAAGTTTAAAATATTTGGCTCTCAATCTTTCAATCGTCGTACTGTTGATACTTGGCTCTGTTGACTAATGAGTTTGCCGACCACTGCAGAGGCTATGCGAGAGCATTTAATCAGGTTCCTGGTACTTGCTCACTAGAGATGAGTGGTTTTTGTTATTGAGTGTCAGAGCATGGGTGTGCAACCTGTGTCCCCAAGCGATGTTCCTATTTCTTTTGTTTCTTTCCCTGATTATTTGTTGAGTCTGTTTTACCGCTCTCTAGACCAGTGATTTTTGTACACACACACACACCCATGTGTGGGGGGGCAGATACTGGGAAATGCGGACATTTGTGATTGTCACAGCTGTGGTGCCCCTGCCTCAAGTGGTTGTGGGGCCAGGGATGCTGCTCAACCCCCACAGTGCCCAGGACCGTTCCTCAGAAAATGATTGGCCCCAAATGTCAGCAGTTAAACCCTACCTTAGCGGCATCGGATCCGGATGGACTCAGGAAAACGTGAGGTCACTGTGGACAGTGACAACTAGGTTCCTTGGGGAGGTCATTCTCTTTGGGTCTCAGTGGGTGGGAGGAGTGAACCCCAAGAAATCATATGCAAGGTTTTGTACATGCACCCGTTTTTGTAGGGAGCAGAAGGAGTACTTTGGAGGTAGTCTCAAGTCAGGCTACTTGGGCTTAAAACTGATTTGTGTCTTAGCTGGTGCCCTTACCATTCTAAGCCTCAGTTTTTCCTTCTGTAGTATGGGAATTAGGTGAAACAACTTAAAGAGTCTCAGCAAACTGATCAGGGAGGCAAATCCAGCTGAGGCCTGTTTTTTAAAATGAAGTTTTGTGGAAACACAGCCACATCCCATGGCACACACCTTGTCAGTGGCTGTTTTTGCATTATAATAGCAGTGTTGAGTCGGTGCCACAGAGACCCTGGGGCTTGTGAAGCTGAAGGAATTTACTCTGGCCTCTTTCAGAAAATGTTTGCGGATCACTGAAACAAACCATTGCATGTATAGCACTTAGTTCATTGCCTGGAACATTTTTCACCTGAGGTTTATAAGTCAGTCTTGACCTGGAAGGGCGAGTGATTCTAAATGGGATTAAGCTCTGCTCCAGGTCAAGAGCTGCCGTCTTACTTGATCTTACGTTTTTCTGGCCGAGACCCAACTTGGGCTGCGGTGGGAAATGCTCAGTGACGGCTGAAGGAGTAAAGGGGATTGTGGGCCGGTAGGCACGACCAAAGGTCTTCTGATGGGGAAACTGAGACCCAAAGAGAATGACCTCCCCAAGGAACCTAGTTGTCACTGTCAACAGTGACCTCACGTTTTCCTGAGTCCATCCGGATCCGATGCCGCCAGGTGCTGGGTTAAAAGGAAGTTGGTTTGCCCAGTGGCTTGCAGTCTGCTGGCTGAA